CGCAAGTGTGACTGCCGAGCAAAGGGTCTCATAATTAACTAATAACATAACATCACGCCTTTTACCCCTGAAGGGGTAGGTGGAGATGCACATTACGGCACTTAATGCCACTGTATAATGTAAACCCACTTTTCACTATTTATGTTATGAGTCCCATGTAATAGGGGGTGAGCCTATTGCCATATACCAGGCAAAATTCCAGACTCCGTGCTACTACTGAGTTTTTTTTTTAAATCCAGTAATTCTTTGCCTGACCCGGGAATTGAACCTGAGACCCCGGGTTTTCTTTATTAATCGAGTCTTAATTAATCTTTAAGCAAATAATAAATAAAATTTTTATATTTTACAGCATTCTTCTGTTGTAGAATCTGAGTCGACTTCTACAATATTAGAATTTAGCGAAATGGATGTTGAAATCATCTCTGTTCCTCCGCCAAATTTAGCTACTTCAGGAACCTCAAGGGCTGAAACGGCTGCTGCTCCTGACGCAGTACCACCTCAAACTAGTAAGTAAATTTTTACCTGCCATTAAATTAAATTAATATTTCATAAAGTCCACCAAATAGTTTACCAAATTTCTTACTATTAATGCACAATATAATTATTAGACATACCATTAACCAACACTTCTTTATCACACAAGGCACTAAATGACCTTTAAAATGGTTTAAAAACCAAACTTTTGTTAGTTTAGTGTGCTATGTTATATGTATAGTTCAATATGTTCCTTGGAAGTAAAATATGAATTTGTATCTTTTTTAAGGTACCAATACAAACACCTCTCGTCGTCGGTCACGTCGTTTACTCTCTAGGACAATTGATACCGAGATGGACCGTATGGCAAGGATTGAGGAACGACGCGTTGAGGCTGAGAGGTTGAGTGCAGAGGCCTTATCCGACACGAGCCGAAGACTAGAGAGGCTCGCAGATGCTGCCGAGCAAATAGCTGTTGCCATAACGGGGGTGGCCAATGCTCTTCAACAAATAGCAAATAATTTAGGAAGGACCTAATAAACGTCAATAGTTTGAGTCCTTCCTAGATTACTTTATTTAGCAATTATTGGTTTATTTTTTAAATGTTTGAGGTATGTTAAAATCGTAGTAATTGGTGTTTCATAGTCTCTGCCTATCTCCATGGGAGATAGACGTGAGGTTACGTATGAATGTATGTACTTACCTATGTGTATGGTGTTTTATTATTGTAAAAAAGACTGATTTAGTTGTGATTATATCAATATTTTGTTATTTAATTTATAAACTAAGATAAGCAAAGTAATTTTACATATTATTTTCACAATGTATAATGTGTGATAGAAATTATTAGTGGTGTATAATTGTTATTGTCAGATGAGAGATTTAAAAAAGACTCGATTTATTTGTGATTATATTGACATTATGTTATTTAATTTATGATCTAAGATAAGCAAAGTAATTTTACATATTATTTTCACTATGTATAATGTGTGATAGAAATTATTATGTATAATTGTTATTGTCAAAATGAGAGATTTAAAAAAAAGACTGATTACATTAGGAGCCATCCTAAAATTTTATTTTAAAGACTTTTAATTTTACATTAATTTCTAAATAAAACTACAAAAATTAATTTCAAAGTTTTTTATTTTATATTTTGTATCTTTGAATCAACATAAAAATTTATATAAGAAAAAAAACTTATTATCTACGAGCTGCCCATAATTGCTGAACTAAAGAATTTCGTATTTCAATCCCTCTCCTTAGTTCAGCAATCGATGGATCAGTCACACGGGCTTCTGGTGGTTCAGAGGAACTTTCATTTTGATTACTTAAATCAACATCAAAATCACAATTATTTTTCTAAATTGGTTACAGATATTGTGTAACACACAGCAGCTATTAATAATTTTAGATGCTTTTATAGGGTGATAGTGCAGCACTCTGTGCCCCAACAAGCATCGCCACCTATTCTTGAGGACTCCAATAGTACGCTCCACTACATTGCGAGCGGAGCAATGCATCTTGTTATAAAACTCTTCTGGAGAACCTTCAGCAGCATCCACAATAGGGGTCATCATGTATGTCCTTTGGGCATATCCAGAATCACCTAATGAAATAAAAATATGAAATTAAATAACTACACTTTTACAACTATTCATTACAAATCAATTATTTTCTAGTAATTTACCTAGAAAATATACATTTTCCCCAGCATCATTAAGGGTGATTAAGTGGCTCTTAATACTGTGCTGATTCCAAATGAAACTGTCATGAGTTGCACCACCAAAGGATGCATCCACAGACAGAATGTTAAATCGGCATCACAGATCTAAAAAAAGTTAACTATTATTTTTAGATACAGTAGAAAATAATTATGTATAAGAATCACTTATTTGATTAAAATTCTTAATTGTCATGTCCCTGAACACTTACAATCATAACTTTCTTGAATGGAAATGCTTCCTATTAAAAAATCTTTCTTCGTTTTCTGATGGCCGCACTATTGCCACATGAGTGCCATCGATGCAGCCCAAAACTGCAGGGATCCCAAATTTTTCATAAACCTGAATAAACAAATATCTCAGCATTTGTTCAAATATTTTGGTAAGTATCTTAAAGGAGTATCTTAAATAAAGGACATTAACTTACCGTCTTTTAATAAGATCCCTCTGTGAGCGAGTTTGGGGAAACTTTACCCACTTCTTTAAAATGTTTTCTTGATTTAAAGCGATTACCGTATCATTAATCGCCTTAGAAACAGACTGCTGGGACATGAGTGTCCCAAACGTGCTCCCAACAAGCTTTTGGTAGCTGCCAGTGGCGAAGAATGAGAGTGCTACCAATAACTGTAAATCGAAAATATTTTATTGAATACAAATAATTTAATAGGTGTATTGAATTTTATACATTATTTTCTACTTACTTTATATTTAGGTGATATATCACTTCTCCTCTTCACAACTGGCAAGTAGGGCCGCAACTCCTCATAAATTTCGTTAAATAAGCTTTTGGGGACGCGATAATTTGCCACAAACTCCTCGTCACCCATGGAGAAAGCCTTATCCATATAACGCGCCAAGCGACGCTCATTTCTTCGTATTTTTACCGACTTCTTACCTATCAGTGGGGGGGTAACCTATCAGTACTAATAATAGTTATTTTTTGCTTTTTAGATTTGACTTTTTGTTTGTTATTAGTTTTTGGTTTTTAGTTTTTTGAAGTCGGTTTTTTAAACGCAGTTTTTATTTTATTATTAATTGCATTCTTCGCGTATTTTGCAAAAACACAAATGGTAGAGCTAAACGTGCCATTTCTATTGCAAAAAGAAAGCTAAATTTGCTTATAATTAAAAAACAATATAAACAAAGTACCACTTTTGTTATTGGGAAAATCTCAATAATAACAGAATGTCAACACAATGCTAACCCTATCGTAGCTGTCAAAATAGCGTCCAGAGTACGAACTAAACTCAATCTCGATGCCAATTAGTTCATTCAATATCCACCCAATACGAATACAACGTGGTGCTAGTGTTGCGACTCAAGAGTACGAAACGTCACAATATCAATGTCGATCGATCGGAATTGGATTCAAGAGTAAGCCCCCTGGTTCTGGGTGCTTACTCTTGAAATCAATCTCAATGTCAATGCAAATTCAATCCAATTAAATCTCAATAATTATTCAATGTCAAAACTATACAACCACAATCGTAGCTGTTACAATAGTATTCAGAGTACGGAATATAAAGACAAACTCAATACTATATAATTCATTCAATATCCACGCAATACGGATGCAATGGGCGCTAGTGTTACAACTCAAGAGTACGAAATTTCACAATACCAATGTCGATCGATCGGAATTGGATTCAAGAGTAAGCCCCCTGGTCGGGCGCCGAGGTACCCGTGCTCGCCGTCCGCAGGCCCGTGCTTACGGTGGTGACCAGAGATGCATATATAGTTACATTGCTGCTTATCTCTCGCATGTTGCGACAGTGTGATGATATTGTGGTTATTACTAATTAACTATTTACTTGTAATTTGTTGTTAATTAAATTAATTTGATTGTAGACACAGTTTGGCGGTCGCACTCCAACGGTCATGTAGCGGCGTGTGTCACTGATAGCCCCTATAGTTGAGAACTAGGAAATGTAACTTCATGCTTGTTACCCAAAGGGATAAGGCAGAAGTGTACTTTAATTGAGATGACGCCTTTTTAACCCCAAAGGGGTAGGCAGAGGTGCACATTACGGCACTTAATGCAACTGTACAATATGTAACACCCACTTTTCACTATTTATATTATGTGTCCCATGTAATAGGGGGTGAGCCTATTGCCATATACCGGACACAATTCCAGACTCCGTGCTACTACTGAGAATTTTTTTAAAACCCAGTAATACTTTGCCCGACCCGGGAATCGCACTTGCAACCACTCTGCGAACGAGCATAAGATGACATATTGTCAATAAGCATTTCGTCTCCTCATGAAATCTTCTGGTTTATTTCGTTACGGTATCCAAGACAGTCGTTCATGTCCTTGGGAAGTGGGACGTTGGACTTCAGTGTTCCGGTGTTTTCATGGTTGTATCTACTGTAGATCCTGGTGCACAGGAGATGCTGGGGCAATGAAATTATAACTGCAAAATCAGAGGTATTCCATGAAGCGCACCCAGACGAAGCGCACCTAAAGTATTCCACTTAGCGCAGCTGTAGGTGCGCTTAAAATAAATTTGGGTGTGCTTCATGGAATACCTCCAAAATCGTCAGTTCGCGAGCAAATCATTTAATGTTAGGACAATATGAATGTATGTGTGTATGTTTGTTACTCTAGAACGTCGAAACGACTGAAGGGATCGGAATGGAATTTGGAACAAGGGTAGATTATGTTTTGGAATAACACATAGGCTATTTCTTATCACTCGGAAATGTGGGCGAACCCACTGGTAGAAGCTAGTTATTTTTTATTCATTTAAGTATTACTTAACCATAGAATGACATTCTGTTTATATCTTCCATCCGCAGGTACCAAGGTTCGGTTCTCGTGTTGACATTCTTCACGTACATGACATACCACTTGACACGCAAACCGATATCAGTAGTGAAGAGTGTGCTACATCAGAACTGCTCAGCGTTAGTGCCTCCCCCGGGAACCGATCCCAATGACGATCAGTGGTGTAACTGGGCGCCGTTTAGTAAGTATAAAGTGTCTATAAAATGTATTTAACTAACTTCATAATATTTTGTGATTTACGAGGTAACTTGACTAATTTCGAACTCGTTCGGGGCCCGTAGTTATGATAATTGATAAGCTTGCGCGAAAAACGACGCGTCGAGCATAGTATATCCTCGCACAAATTGAATTGACGTTTAATTCCAATAAAGTTCATTTTACTATAACATTTTATCTGAATTCAATGTCATTCCAATATGACCTATAACACTATAGAAATAAAGTTGTACTTTACATGTTTTTACTTCCAATTTCTACATCCCTTTAGTTTATGTAAAAACGCGGGTTACTCACGATAGTTATTATAAAAATCACTTTAGTTCATTGCAAAATGAACTGTAACACCATAGTAATAGAGTTGCATGTTGCACATATTGTATCTAGTTCCAGCGTCGATATCACTTTAATTCATTGCAAAATGACCCATAATGGTATAGTAATAGAGTTGTATGTTGCACGTTACAGACACGGCGGACGCGAACACGTTGCTGGGCACGTTGGACTCCGCGTTCCTGTTCTCATACGCGGGCGCCATGTTTGTTTCAGGTGAAGTATAGCAATTAATATATTGTACTACCTAATGCTGCTGCTCGTCTCCTATTGATCGTACCGTGATGTTTTATAGCCATCCTCGATAAATCATCACGCTACGATCCGCGCGCGCCTCAAAGAGCCATCAGACCATCACAGATGGGACTCAGTAGGGCTGATGTCGATACGGAGCCGCGGAGGACTTAACGGGTTACCGGGGCTCCGGCTCGACGTGCAGGAGAAGGAACGGGGTGGTTTTTAGTCAGTAAGAGTCTGACACTCCCTCCCGCCTCACCCAGGGAGCAGTCATTCGATGATGTTCGCCCTTTAAAAAAAATCCTCGATAAACGGACTATACAAAGCGAAAACAATTATTAAAATTGGACCAGTAGTTCCTGAGATTAGCCCGTTCAAACATACAAACTTAAACTTAAGTTTGTTATATTTTTTTAACCCGTCGAGCGTCCGCGTTCCTTATGATCCAACGCGAGAATGAAAATGGCCATTTGCCATTGGCACACGAAAATAAGGATCATTACAATCCTTGAAATCAATGAAATAAAAAATACAGTCAAAATAAAAACAAAACATTAATAATAGATTTTATAAAAGAGAAAGTAGCATGGAGCATTTTTTCTTATGATCCACCGGGTGCTCATAAAGACGCTCGAGGGGTTAATGGGATAATTTACGGAACTGGAGGTCTAAATAGAATAATTATTTTTGTGTTGGATAGTCCTCCATTTGTCGAGGATAAGGATCGCGTCACGCTGCAATCAATAGGAGCCGAGCAGAGCGGGTGAAACGAGACGAGCGCAGGAGTAGCTAAAGTAATACAATGCTTAACTTGCAAGAGTTATAATTGCCATTGCGTAGTCCATGCACATTACAAGGAGGTAAACATTGTACGTAGCTTATAGAACAGCTGTACCGACGTCTGTCACCAACCAGACGTCGAACCCATGACCTTGAGCACACGAGCACACAATGCTAATGACGACCGATAAACTAATTAGCAAATATTTTTCATAAATTACTATTTGAATATATCGGTGATTAAAGTGATAGATAGTTTGTTAATGGGTTCGATTCTTGGGTAGGGCAAATTGTTTTTGAAATTTTTGGTTTGTATACTCACTTTTGGTAGAAATACTAGGGGTTTCTCGCCCTTTGTTGATGTAGGTTTTAGTATTTATGTTCATCATCATCATCAACAGCCTATAAATGCCCACTGCTAAGCAAAGCTTCTTCTCACACAGAGAAGGTTTGAGCATTAATCACCACGCTTGCTCAATGCGGGTTGGCGATTTCAAACTTATAATTAGAAATTATAAGCCCAGGTTTCCTCACGATGTTTTCCTTCACCGTTTGTCAGTGGTGTCTAGATAATCTTAGAAAGTACATATAACTCGGAAAAAGTCACATTGGTACTTGCTGTTGGTAGGTTTCGAACCCGCACCCTCATGCATGAGAAGCGGGCGTCTTAAACCTCCGGGCCAACATGACATAAGTCTTTATTTATATTTATTTTAATGTTCCTATTTTTTCTTCAACTTTTTTTTATTTATTTATTATTGTGATGTTAACACGGCTTTACACCAATTACATTAACACACATACAAAGAGAAATCAAAAAGAATCTAACATTTATAACATTTATAGTATTTACGAATCACCTGATGGTAAGCAATTGGCGTCGTCGCCCATGGACACCCGAAACACCAGAGGTTTTACAAGTTTGTTACCGGCCTTTTGGGGATTAGGAATTTGAGGATTGTTAGGAATTCGGGGATTGGAGAGAGAATTGGGCGTCCGGTAACATCACTGACACGACGAAACAAGGCAAGGGTTCACGTCGGTGTTCAGTGAGGCCGTGGTATCACTCCGGTCGAGACAACCTATGACGTCTTGTGGCTCATTCTTCTTCTTATGGTGCCACTTCACTCCTGAAGGTTGGCCGTCGACTTTTTGAATTGGTCCTTGTCATTGGCCAGGCGTAAAAGTTGTTCCACAGAGCTGATACCTATTCACAACAGTCAAATACTGCGGTATTTAATCAACCGCTGTTATCAATTACAACTGACGTCTGTCACCTGTTACAAATCGATTTCCGCACGAAAATCATTCCTTGATTATATCTGGACGCAGTCGATTGACGCCATGTTTCATTCATTCAGCCCGCACTTGTGTTACTTATCTGTTGTCGCATTTTGATTGCTATCTTACTGTATATGAGTCAGTTCTCATATTATTAATGTACTTGCTTTACGCTCGTATACTGAGAACCTAACGGGTAGCCGGGGCTCCGGTTCGATGTGCAGGAGAAGGAACGGGGTGGGTTTTAGTCAGTTAGAGTCTGACACTCCCTCCCGCCTCACCCAGGTGGGAGCAGCTATTCGATGATTTTCCCCCCTTAAAAAAAATTCTGGAAGGTTACTCAATTAATTAAGTTGTACTGAAATATCGTTCCATCTCTGTAATTTTATAAAGAACTAGCGACCCGCCCCGGCTTCGCACGGTTGCAATATGCATGTATTATACATATAAACCTTCCTTTAAGAATCACTCTATCTATTTAAAAAAACTGCATCATAATCCGTTGCGTAGTTTTAAAGATCTAAGCATACATAGGGACAGATAGACGGCGGATAGCGACTTTGTTTTATACTATGTAGTGATTTGTCGTGAGAGCGTCTTAAAATTGCCTCATTGGCCGAGAGGTCGCTAGTGCGACTGCCTGGCAAGGGCTAAGTTATACTGGGATTTACAAAAAAATCCTAGTAGTAGCACGGGTCTGGAATTGTGCCCGGTATATGGCAATAGACTCACCCCCCTATTACATGGGACTTATAACATAAATAGTGAAAAGTATGTTTTACATACATTGTACAGTGGCATTAAGTGCCCTAATGTACACTTCTGCCTACCCTTCGGGGATAAAAGGCGTCATGTTATGTTATATATGTAACCTCTTAAAATGGAATGGTGTTTGAGTATTTGAACATGACACCAGCTATGTTAAGAGTCTAATTTAATAGTGGTATTTATTTCCGTGCAACGACTATTCAACCAAATCCAATGATCCTCATTCCTCATCGTCACCAACATCCGAAGACCAAAATGAAAGGTATTCATGAGGAATTGCACAACCTTATTCCCCATAGTCCATTTTACCGCCGTAGTTCCAGATGAACGGCGGGGTGCCACCCTTATATGGTGGGCATTCCACCCATTCTTCCTTGTGCGAACAGCTAAGGAATGGACCTCCTTGCCGGAATCTGTATCCTTATCCTGACAAATATAACTTGTTGTCTTCAAGTCCCGAGTGAACAGGTTGCTCATAGGTAGGCGTGCTCCATCGTCGGCTACATCATCGCTTACCACCAGGCGAGATGGTGGCCAAACGTCCCCTACAAGTATAAAAGAAAGGTTCGCCGTAATCCCCACACTTAACAGACAGCTTGAGCAAGCGTGGTGATTAATGCTGAAACCAGTTCGTGAAAAGAGGGCTTTGGCAGCAGTGCCCACTTATTTTCGACTGACATTTTTTTCTTATTATTTAATATTTAAATATTTTGTTGTTGACGTTCAAAAGTGCCTTCCTGGTCTAATTGAAATAAATGATTTTGACTTTGACTATAGGCTGTTGATGTGACATAAGACTATAAACGTGACTAGCGACCTCTACCCCGACTCTATCTTATTAATATCTGTCTGTATGTATGTATGTCTGTTCTACAGGTATGGTAGCGGAGCGCGTGGACCTGCGCTACTTCTTGTCGCTGGGTATGCTGACGTCTGCTATATTCTGCTACCTGTTCGGCATCGGACGTACTTACAATGTGCACAATATCTCGTACTATCTGCTTGTGCAGGTTTGTATTGCTAAACTGTATTTTTATGTACCAGCGACCCGCCCCGGCTGCGCACGGGTGCTATATGCATGTATTATACATACTAGCTACTTCCGCGCGGTTTCACACGCTTTTCTCAGCTCCTATTGGCCGTAGCGTGATGTTTTATAGCCTATAGCCATCCTCGATAAATGCGCTATCCAACACAAAAAGAATTATTCAAATCAGACTTGTAGTTACGGAGATTAGCGCGTTCAAACAAACAAACTCTTCCGCTTTATATAATAGTATAAGATAAACCTTCCTTAAGAATCACTCTATAAAAAAGAAAAAATAAAAAACAAAGGTCGCCGACATAGCCCAGCGCATTAGCAAGTTGAAGTGGCAATGGACACACATAGCGCGGAGAACCGACGGCCGCTGGGGCAGAAAGGTTCCCGAGTGGAGGCCACGTACCGGCAAGCGCAGCGTATAGTACGAGAGATGACGACCAAAACCATCAAACGCTACGCGGAAAATGTCTGATATTGGTATTTTCGAGTTCAGGATAATCGTATCTATCGATTTGAGGCGGTTTTGGCCTTTTTGCTATGAGACAAAAATTTTGGTCGTCATCTCTCTAACTAGTAGGACGTCCATCCGCAAGGTGGACAGACGACCTGATCAAGGTCGCAGGGAACTGCTGGATGCGGGTCGCTTCCAACCGGCCTATCTGGAAGTCATTGGGGTAGGGCTATGTTCAGCAGTGGACGTCCTGTCGCTGATATGATGATGACGATGATGATGATGATTAAAAAAAACGGATCAAAATCCGTTGCGTAGTTTTAAAGATCTAAGCATACATAGGGACAGACAGACGGCGGATAGGGACTTTGTTTTATACTATGTAGTGATAGACAAAAATAAAGTCGGAAAGTTAGTATTTTAGTCAGTAGATTTAATGTTTTGTGAATGGATAATTCATTTTCTTTATCGTACATAGTTTTTATTACTACCCTTTTTCTTTTAGCCCTCTCTTTTTCTCTCTTTAACTGCCTCGTTGGCCGAGTGGTCGCGAGTGCGACTGTCGGGCAAGGGGTCTCGGGTTCGATTCCCGGGTCGGGCAAAGTATTACTGGGTTTTAAAAAAAATCTCAGTAGTAGCACGGAGTCTGGAATTGTGCCCGGTATATGGCAATAGGCTCATAACATAAATAGTAAAAAGTTGGTGTTACATTGTACAGTGGCATAATGGCGTGATGTTATGTTATGTTATTATTTTACTCCGTATCTTCCCTCCAGGCGGGCGCGGGTATCGCCCAGACGACGGGCTGGCCGGGCACGGTCGCGATAGTGGGCAAGTGGTTCGGCAACAGTAAGAAAGGACTCATCTTCGGGATCTGGAACTCGCACACGTCGCTCGGGAATATATTGGGTAAGTTGTAAAGTCGTTTCGATAGAAGTAGATAATATTTTTGCTGAAATCATGTATAGTGTTTTTTTTTTGATAATGTTGTCATATGTATGACTGATGAGCGATGGGTCTGAAGTTCAGTTCTCGGGATTTGTAAAGTTCCCTGTTCTCTCTTCTCTGCTCGTCCCCTCTCTAACTTTGATTCATCTCTCTTCCTGTCTTCACCTCTCGCCTTGTCTCCCCCTCTCTCCTCGTCCCCTCTCTCACCATGATTCATCTCTCCCCCGTCTTCCCCTCTTACCTTGTTTTCCTCTACTCTCACCTGGACTCCCCTCTTTCCCCGTATCCCCGTATCCCCATTTCTAACCGTCTCCCTATATCTTCCTCTCTCTCAGAGAATAACAAAAATAATTAAATATACGTATTTCAACACATCTTCTGATCTTGTCCATTAACAACCTCAATAAAATGTGACCAGGTACAATAATGGCGGCGGAGTACGTGGACTCGGACTGGTCGCTGTCGTTCATATACCCTGGTCTGGTGATGGGTGCAGTGGGTGGCGTCGTCTGGCTGTTCCTGGCTCCAGACCCTCGACACCTGGGCCTCGCCGCCGCCGTCAATGGCAGGAACTCTGTGAGTATCATATTTATTAGAAATATAATATACTAGCTACTTCCGCGCGGTTTCACTCGCTCTGCTCGGCGCCTATTAATCGTAGCGTGATATTTTATAGCCTATGGCCTTCCTCGATAAATGGGCTATCCAACACAGAGAGATTTTTTCAAATTAGACCAGCAGTTTCGGAGATTAGCACGTTCAAACAAAAAAACAAACTCTTCAGCTTTATAATATTAGTATAGAATTATAGATATTACATGGGAATGGTAACATTTTGTTTTTTACTAATCTATACACCTAACACTGCCTCATGAGGGCACCCTCATGTCGTACCCGTACCGTCGCATGCGCTAAATCACCGATTCCTCGCACTCTGGCCGCGCTCAATGATCTCCTGGATTCCAATCCAACTAGTGATCTGTTTGCGGACGGATGGAAGGAGATTTTATCAGAATGCTTGAAGTACTGCGAGACATACTTATGAATGGTGTTAACTCCTGTTTTAATTGAGTCTTACTTTTCTCTTTCGTTGTGTGCAATGTTTATGTTTGGTATTAGTTATAATTTCATCTTTTATTGTTGTAAATATGTCAGCTACTGTAAGTGGTTTACTACGGTTGTGACTGTTTAAAAATAAATAAACACTTAGGTACGGGTGTAACACGGTTGGCAAAAACAGCACACTTACTCACTCACTTTCTCATTCATACTCACTTATGTCCTTTCTCTCTCTCTTTCACACTTACTCACTCACTCACTTACTCACTCACTCACTCACTTACTCACTCATTAACGTACTTACTCACTAATTTACTCACTCACTTACTCAATCACTTACTCCCTTACTCACTAACTTACTCACTCAATCAATCACTCACTCACTCACTTACTCACTCACTTACTCAATCACTCACTCCCTTACTCACTTACTCACTTGCTTACTCATTCACTCACTCACTCACTTACTTACTCAATCACTCACTCACTCACTGACTCACTCACTCAATTACTGACTCCCTTACTCACTCACTCACTCACTCAAATTCACTCACTGACTCATTCTACTTGTCAACAGCCTACGCGTCAGGTGACGCGCTCCGATGAAGAGGACGAAGGTGACGAAGATGAGGAGTCATCAGTCATCGTTGGCGACCAGGTAAATTTAATTACTACTTTAATTTACTTTAAACTTGCTAAGGTTCATATTACTTTGCACCCTTATTTACATCGGTCTATAATTTCAACTTTAATGCAAACACATAAGGTTCATTTTACATTAGCACTCACAATATGGTGATAGCGATTATAGTAATTTTAGTCTAATCATTGATTAGCAAATAATGGTATTGGAAATTCAACTCAAAACACATAAGTTTAAAGTTTCTATCCCATTGTTTTTAATTATAATTTATTGATTCAACTATATCAGGGGCATTTCACAGAAGTCATAAAGGTTCAATGTAAGAGAAAGTTTTGGGCCAATATTTAAAAATACGGCTATAATAAATCGTTTCAAGTTCGACATTATTTCAGAATAAGCGACAGCAATGTTTCTTATTGGAGTTCTATGGAATTAGGAATAATATCAATTACGTTTTTGAGTTTGTGTGTGTTAAGCCGCGTTATAAAGCTAGTTACAAGACTGCGGCGTGTAGTTCGCACTTACAGGTTTCTGTAATTTACAGAAAAATGAAAAATATTAACCTACAATTTTTTTTATTGATTCGGACTCAGAATCGATAGGGGAGTTATCTCCTAGAAAATGACGTGGCTTTAAAACAACACCTTGTATTAACACGCTCAAGGTATATTTTTCCATGTCTCTAACATTCGTATGTTTGTCTGTCCCCCATAGTCGGCGAGTCTCCGGCCCAACAGACATTCTGCTAATGCAGCGCATGTAAGTACTCACTATTCATATATCAGATATAACTAATAGATTATTTAGATTTTGGGGGGGGGGGGGGTGACTCCCCTCTCTTTTTTTTCCACCCCATCCCCCAAATCTTCTAATCCCTAACCCCCAAAAAGGCGGGCAACGTACAAGTAACTCCTCTAGTGTCCATGGGCGGCGCTGATTGCTTACCATCAGGTGATCCGTCTGCTCATTTACCGGCTTATGCCCGGTTCCTATATTTAACGAATCGTCATGGTATACGAACTACTATTCGTTTTTCGAGTACCGACTACGAGTCGTAAATAGTGTTCCACAATTTATTTTCTTTACCTGCTTTTGACGAACGTCCGTTGGTCATAAAACTACCGAGCCCTCTTGACTCCAGATGTTCAACATGTGTACGACAAACGTGCGTTTCGTTATAAGCAAAATTGAAACTCAAAATAACACACATTTAAGATAAAATGAGTTAGATTTACATACAAATTAACCTTAATTAGTTTTATAAGATGTGTAACTAACTAAACCATCGCAGGCATCTGCGTGATGAGTTTTTTTACTTACTAAACATAATTGAACACAGCTTACACTAAAGGAATGGAACGTTATGACAATCAAGCGCGCGCAATTTTCAAAATTGCAAATTTCAATTCTTCTACCACTTCTGTTTTCTATAAATTTACGCTGTTAAATACGATACCTGTGTGAAATCAATTGTTTGAAATAGATATTACGCCGTTGAGTACCCAGAGATAACATCTATTTGATCTATTTTAACAGAGTTGTACAGTACGACCGGCGAAAGGTGGCGAGAGAGAAGTTAGGCTCTAGCAACTTTAGCGCTTTGATACTCATAGGATATGAACAATTTAAAAAAAAAGTGCCGTTAGCTGTTATTATTGCTGTAATCAACGGTTATTGGCATTTATTTTTTTGCAAATAACTTATTTTTTTACGAATACACAAGCGCGAAACTTGCTAGAGGCTAACTTCGCTCTCGCCACCTTTCGCTGGTCGTACTGTACGTTGTTGCTTCGGTAAAATTCGATATGAAATTCGTAAGAATTCAGCAACGCTAAATAATCCACTCTTTCTTTATAAATTCTATCACGCCTATTATCTTCTTCCGAATCAGTGTCACTGGAGTTTGATATAATATCAAACATTTCTCTATCACTATCTGAACTCGACATTTTAAAATTTAAAAGCGAAAACCGCAAAAATAGCGAACTTACTTTAAAAATTCTACTCTAACCGACCGACATCGGCAGGTAACCAAATGACATTACGAATAGTCATCTTGACCGTCTACGGACGGTTAAAATATTTATAGGAACACCATAGACTCTCATCTCTATACAAAACGCTTACCGGTACCCTCCCATCCGTTAGTTGCAAGCCGTCCGTAAGTTGTACAACGAGACGTTTTTTATAGGAACGGTTTTGGCTTACGCCTCGTATATAAAACTACTATTCGTAACTAAAACGGATCGTTTCTCAATTATAGGAACCGGGCATTATTCCATAATGAAATATCAATGATTTTTTAGTAATTATTCTCATATAACGTTTTACTTATCATTGGGTATTCATTTCAGAATACAAAGGTATGTATGACATTATTAATTATATTTATTTTTAACCGACTTCAAAAAAGGTTTTAGTATATTAATTAACCGATTTTTAAAATAGAGAGTTTGTTGTCAGTTTTTTAAACGTATCCTTACTAATATTATAAATCGGAAAGTGAGTTTGTTTGTTTGTTCCGACCTCACGCCTTAACTACTAAACCGATTGCATTGAATTTTTGCAGACGTAAAGTTAGTAGTCTGGATTAAATAATAGGGTACTTTTTATCCCGAAAAAATATACCCGAGGGAAAACAAAAGTATTGGTATAGATGGCGCTGTATGTATTGGTATATGTCACATAGGCTACTTTTTATCCTTTTGTGACGCGAGCGAAGCCGTGGGTAAAATCTAGTTTTTAAATAATTATTATAAAGGTAAAGGTTGCGAAACCCCTTTGGATTACTTATAATGATTTTTCAGTACTGTAAATCCGATTCCCAATCTATTAACCATATTGAACCTAGTAACTTGTAAATGGCTCTCATTCATAGCAAGGAGCGGTGCGACGTCAGTTTGATAATAGATTTTGGTATAGAAAATCCGATACATATTACCTGACATTTTACCTAAATTAAACCGTGTGATTGTCCACGGTTACAGTATGAGTACAATTCGTCCCTTTTGTATTTAGGTATAGAGTTTTCGTGTATCGAAATTCCGATCCCTAACATTATTTTTATTTTATTTTTTTGTGGGCTGTCGGTTGACCACTACCTCGCCTGATGGTAAGCGATGATGCGGCCTACGATGGAGCACGTCGTCCCATAAGCAACTTAATATGATTCAATTTTTATTTTATTTGTTATATTACTATTTTATATTGTCAGGACGACATATCAGAGCGCACGTCCCTCCTCCGGTCGTCGTCCCCGGACAGCGCGGTGTCGCTCGGGCGCGCGCTCCGCATCCCCGGCGTCGTCGAGTTCTCACTCTCTCTGTTCTTCGCGAAGCTAGTCAGCTACACGTTCCTGTACTGGCTGCCTTCTTATATCCGGTATACTCTGCGTAAGTATCATTTTTATAATTAACTTTGTTCGATTAAGGGCCGATTTTTCCAATTGGGATGATGACAGGGTATGAAAATTAAAAATCTAATTAGTCCGTATTTTATTTATTTTGTCATATAAGAAAACAATACTTGGATAAAACGAATCAAAGTTTAGGAGTGGGGGCTATAACGTCATTTCTACGTATAAAATGTACATAGAAGTGACGTCACGCGACATTTCAAATCAATATATCGTCGAAAGTATTCGTTACTTAAAATAATCTACCAGACGAACATTAAAATAAAAATTTGTCATCTACTTATATCGGTGGAACAGCTTTCAATACTTGACAATGGTTCCATACTAAAAATTGTGAAATGACAATTTTATTCTACAAATCTGAATTATCTGTTGATTGAAATATTATCCTTTCATCATCGTCATTATCATCAACAGCCTATAAGTGTTCACTGCTGACCAAAGCCCTCTTCTCACACGGAGAAGGTTTGAGCATTAACCACCACGCTTGCTCAATGCGGGTTAGCGATTTAAAACTTATAATTAGAAATTATAAGTCCAGGTTTCCTCACGATGTTTTCCTTCACCGTTTGTCAGTGGTGTCTAGATAATCTTAGAAAGTACATATAACTCGAAAAAAGTCACATTGGTATTTGCCGTTGGTAAATTTCGAACCCGAGGTTAATGAAGCCCGCTTCTCATGCATTAGAGTGCCTTATGCATGAGAAGCGGGCTCATAAACCTTCGGATTACCACGACTTGTAAGGAAGATCTTACGGCTTGAGGACTTGATAGCTGCTTCGTTTCTTCAGTTATCCCTTTATTAATTCCCTGTCTCATTTGACTCCCACCTTTGGACAAATCCCCGTTTCTTTATTTCCTTATTTTAATCATATCCCTCTTTAGTCAAAAACCCCTATTCCATCATTGGGGTGGATACTTGTCAACTAGTCATATTCAATACTTATTTGGAACTGTCAAAAAACGACAGTTTTCTATGAATTTTGTACGAGATTGTGTATTGTGACGTCACGTTTTTATAAAGTTAAACGGCGTACTTATTGCTTAAAAATTTGCTGGATAAATACTATAATTAAGTCGGTCATAAAATCATTTAATAAAAGCGTGATTAATCCTTATCCTTACTATTATAAATGGGAAAGTGAGTTTGTTTGTTTGTTTGTTTGTTCCGCTTTCACGTCGTAACTTCTAAACCGATTGCTTTGAATTTTTGCAGACGTAAAGTTAGAAGTCCGGATTAAATAATAGGGTACTTTTTATCCCGGAAAACTTTGATATTCCCGAGGGAAAACAAAAGTGTTGGTATAGATGGCGCTGTGTGCATTGGTATATGTCACATAGGCTACTTTTTATCCTTTTGTGACGCGAGCGAAGCCGCGGGTAAAAGCTAGTTTTTAATATTTTATTGTATTGAACAGTCGAAATAATTTATTTTTGATAATGAAACTACCCAATTCCCAAACTCAACTCCTCAATTTTATCAGTCGACCCTTTGAACCACATTCCCTCATTTACCAACTCACTCTCAATTCAACTCCTTCCTTTTATCAACTCCACATGTTTGCAGGGCTTCCCTACCATCAACTCAGTGTCTTATAAGCTCCCTCGTTTGATTCCAGCGAACCTGTCGGCCCGGCAGTCGGGCGAGCTGAGTACAGTGTTCGACGTGGGCGGGGTGCTGGGCGCCATCGTGGCCGGGCTCGTGGCAGACTGCAGCGCGGCGCCCGCGCTCGTCTGTGTCTGCTTCTACTGCGCCTGCGCACCCATGGTTAGTGTCTAGATAATGTATACATGTGTATATGTACTTGCGGAAGTTTTTTCTTAATCCCCATGGTTGGTGATTTTGGTGGGGATTGTAGTTTAGTGCTGAAATTTTAAATGTCCGTGGATCAGTGGCTGACTGCGGTTGGTAATGGTTTTCAAAATTATTTTAACATAATTTCATTATTTAATATACACAACAACGGTGGGTGACAATTTACTGTTGGACTGAGTAATCTCCACCTCCACATAATATTATAATCCCCACACTTGGCTAACAGGTTGGAGATTGATAAGTTTAAAAGATTTAAGTGTCAAATATGCCAGCTATAACGAACCCCACGTGAAGATTAGCGGTGGTCACACCCAAATAATTTTTTTTTTCCCCAGCTATTCCTATATCAATGGTGGGGAGGCACCTCGTATCTTATGTCAGTAATTCTACTGGTGATGACGGGCTCGCTAGTGAACGGCCCGTACGCACTAATCACCACAGCTGTCAGCGCCGAGCTTGGCACGCATCACTCGCTCGCGGGGAACAGTCGCGCGTTGGCTACTGTCACCGCTATTATAGATGGAACTGGCAGTCTCGGTGAGTACAATGTTAAGGTATACTTTTTAAGTGGTGATTTTGTTGAATTCGAAAAAGCATGTCGGCGAAGCGTCACCGATCCATGGTAGATGTCCCACCCACTCACACAAAGCGCTTCGCATCAAGCCTTGTGCGTGCTAAGGAGTGGAATTCTTTGCCAGAGTCTGTATTTCCTGAAGGGTATAACCTGAGTGTCTTCAAGGCCCGAGTGAATAGGTTGCTTATGAGAAGACGTGCTCCATCGTAGACCGCATCATCGTGCACCACCAGGCGAGATAGTGGGCAAACGTCGGCCCATCAAATATACAAGAAAACTATGCTGCAATCAATACTTTGAGAAATTTTTCTCTTGCGGTAATCCCCATGGTTGTCAATTCGGTTGGGGATCACGGTTAAATTACTGAAAGTAAAAGACTTAAGTATAGGTAGTCCATCCTTGTGTAACTTGTCGCAGTTTTGGTATTTTTTTTTACGTTTTTATGATACAGGACAACGAACGACCGGACAGATCACCTGATGGTAAGCAATCAGCGCCGCCCATGGACACTCGCAAAACTAAAGGCGTTAGTAGTACGTTGCCGACCTTTTGTGGAATTGGGTTTATAAAGGAACATTTTTTTTTTCGCTTAAATCTAGTACTGACGAATTTGCTTGTTAGTTTAAGGTATTATATCTCCAAAACTACTGGTCCGAATTGGATAATTCTTTTTGTGTTGGATAGTCCATTTATCAAGGAAGGCTATAGAGTATAAAACATCACGCTACGACTAATAGGAGCGTGGTAGGATCAATAATATTATTATAATGTGTTTGGTTTTCCTCTAGGCGCGGCGATAGGTCCAATGTTGGCCGGTGTAGTGTCGTCCCACTCGTGGACGCATGTCTTCTACATGCTCATCGCGTGCAACTTCATGGCGCTCTTCTTATTGCTCAGGTATGTTTACTTTAGTTGCGCTAACAGTTTGCGCAATGGCGCATAGTTTGCGCAAGTGTTGTAATATTATTTTTTATATTTAATAATATAATTTGACTAGAAACAGGAAGAAAAAGGATTTACCTATTTGATAGAAGATATGCACGCAAATACTAAGATTGTTGATTTAGGAAGGATACTGCAAATTATTTGGAAATTATAAAAATTTAAAAAAATCAAGAAACACTAACATTTACTTTGTTAGATCAAGGGATTGGAGCCGCAACTTATTAGTCACAATTTCTTAAGTTAATGCGCAAATATCGCCACTCCTATATCGTTGCGCAAATTTTGCGCAAACTTTGCGCATTGACCAAATATTAATAACAAATGTCTAATACATTTTCTTTCTTTGAACCCACAGGATAGCATACACGGAGATGTTAAAGATAAAACAAGAGAGACGTATGGCATCCCCGCCGCGAGTACGCGTCGAGTAAACGCACAGTATACGCACCGTAACCGCGCAGTAAACGCACAGTTACTGTGTTAATTGTAATTATTCTATGATTAGGACAAATTGTTAAAATCCATACAGTAAGCGTACGATATCAGCGCAGTGTACGCACAGTAACCGCGCAGTAGACGCAGGTACCGTGTCACCTTCTATAGAGATAAAATAGGGGCTACTATATTTTTACTCACCAGGTGGCGCTAGTGAGACCGTCTCACTCTTTGTCCAATAGGGAATTAGCTAACTAGTGTCACACCCATCGACATATACTAATGGCATGCCGTACGCGTATAATCTGCAGTAATTTTTTGGTTTGAAAAGAGTGAGAGAGATGGCCTATGCTTTCGGTCTAGCGCTATCTCTTTCTCGCTCATAACGTCTTAACTACCGACCGAAACTTCGTTTCCTCTCTTTCTTTCGGAGTGCCACAATTCTCATCTCTAAGGCATGCCCATTAGTATATGTCTGTAATATACCATTCGACGTTCAATATTTGACAGCAGCTGTGATTGGACATAAAAATCTTGCTACATGCGCACCATCTAGTGAGTAACTAATTAGTAAAATATTAATTACAAATTATGACAGTACATCTTCAATATGTAGTTTTTTTTTTCAATATATTTATAATTTATAGGCAAATTTTGTTGATGTTAGTACTGAATAGTTGACTTACTTATCATATTATGAATGGAATTTTTTTAAAGTTTGTCTGTATGTTTGTTACTTAATCACTTCAAAACGACTGAAGGGATCGGGATGAAATTCGGAACAGAGGTAGATTATGGTCTGGAATAACACATAGGTTACTTTTAACCTACGGGTACACGGGCAAAACCGCTGACAGAAGCTAGTTGTCTTAATAATACATATATTGATCTCTTTGTCTACACAGTTTGCGAAAACCAAATTCAAATTAATCAACATAAACATGACTATCTGATGAAGTCATCGTGTATTTAAATTAAACAAATGAAGCAGTTTTGAACGTCTCATTCCAAGGTTTTTTTTAAGGGGGGAAAATCATCGAATGACTGCTCCCGCCTGGGTGAGGCGGGAGGGAGTGTCAGACTCTTACTGACTAAAGTCAGTTAAAACCACCCCGTTCCTTCTCCTGCACGTCGAGTCGGAGCCCCGGTTACCCGTTAGGTTCTCTCATTCCAAGGTCTAGATTCCTATGGAGAAGAACGAGCAAGAAACTCCATATTATTATCCACTAAATACAAACTATAAATTTTTTCTCATATAAAGCTGAAGAGTTTCTTTATTTGAATGCGCTAATCTCAGAAACTACTGGCCCGAATTAAATAATTCTTTTTGTGTTGGATAGTCCATTTATCGGGAAATGTTATAGGCTATAAAACATCACGCAACGATCTTTAGGAGTCGAGCAAATAAAAAATCATGTATGTAGATAATTGTCTAATAACTACAGCAGTATTGTTATACAAAAATATTTGAATACACGTTTGTCATAAAAAGTACAGTTTTTGCGCTTGCTAGATGGCGCCACTGTAGAGTTTGGTTCTGTCTGTCAAATTTCTGTTATAGATTTTTAACATTATTTTGTGGCGTTAAACAAGAACTTGTGGTCGTTTTCACCAATCAGCTCTCACCTAAGAGTTATTAAGGGAGCATCTAAACTTACTTGTACTTAGGAGTCACTTACATACAAAGCTCATGTAACACTTAATAGAGTACATTGTGTTTGCTGGACAGTGACTATAGACTACTTTTACCCTTTGACATCGCAGGCAAAGCCACATGTAGCAGCTAGTATAATGTGTAATTTTGACACAAAACAAAAGTAAATCTTGAAGTTTGTGTTAGTAAATAATGAATACTTGTTTGATATTAATAATTATGTATTTTTATGATACAAAAAACATTTTTTTAATGGGATAAGCCGGTAAACGAGCAGACGGATCACCTGATGGTAAGCAATCGGCGTCGCCCATGGACACCCGGAACACTAGAGGCGTTACAAGTGCGTTACCGGCCTTTTGGGGATTAGGAGTTTGAGGATCGTTGGGAATTCAGAGATTGGAGAGATTGGGGAAGGGGAGGGTAATTGGGCCTCCGGTAACCTCACTCACACGACGAAACACAACGCAAGCGTTGCTTCACGTCGATTTTCTGCTCGGCCGTGGTATCACTCCGGTTGAGCCGGCCCAGCAGTGCCAAAGCATGGCTCTCCCACACTTGCAATGAAATAATTAATTCCTTATCCTTGTGAAAATAAAACTAGTTTTTTACCGCCACCTGTCGGCGTTTTTCAGCGTTTCTTTTACACCCTGTGTATATTCAGAAATGTAATAATTACACATTTCTGGGTAATCGACACTGCCATCACTACAAATCATTTAGTATTTAGATTTATACATAAAAGATTATAATAGCAAGCTTTGGACGGCGTTTATTGCGTACACACGGCCACACATGAATCTATACAAACCCAGTTTACCCTGGTGTCGCGTCGCATCATCTTTCCTCATACTTAACGTTCAGTTTTTACTGGTTATGTAAAGCTCGATGTGTAGCTTGTGTGCCATCAGGTAATACGGTGGGCAACTGGTCAGTCTATACTGCAGCTGTAGCCAAATGCCATTTAGCGCTTGTCTACGTGTAGAGTAGAAAACTAAATTATATGGGATTGACGTAAATTTTGACACTTGTCAGTGTCATCCCCATACATTTAGTTTTCTACTCTCTCTGTAGACAAGCGCTAAAGTGGCGTTTGACGAAAGGCATTCTGTCAAATGTATCTATTACATCTTCAACTTTATTATATTGACATATAGTTGACAATCTAATGAATACATTTGACCTTACAGTTTGGCAAAAAAGCGTTTGACGTGGTGACAGTTGGAACTAATATTGACTTAGACTGCATAACCCACTTCAGACTACGGTCCCATGAATAAACAATCAACCGAACATAGTACCTCCTCTTTTAAAATAAATATCATCACGCCTTTTATCCCCGAAGGGGTAAGAGGTGCACATTACGGCACGTTATGCCACTGTACAATGTAACACCCCCCCTTTCACTATTTATGTTATTGCCATATACCGGGCACAATTCCAGACGCTGTTCTACTACTGAGATTTTTTCGGGAATCGAAGTTGTAGAGTCGTAGTGTACCAAGCTGCTACAGGTACAATACTAGTGACCTCAATTATGCCATAATCTTTTTTGCCAAGCTGTAATAGAAGGTGGGCTGCTTGCAAGCGTGACTGTCACTGCACTATGAGCCTCCTCTACATAAGAGTGGTTTGTCACAATCTCCGCAGGCAGGCGGGTTGGAGATCGCAATATAAAAGGTTCAGGTTTATCAGAGAGCGCTGCTGCACGGTCTCTGTCTAATGTGTAGTCCCTCAGTCGGGTATATGATACCCGCGGGAAGAGTAGGGGTGGTGTACAAATGTATTGTACTCTGACGTCACCAAACGACTTATTATGCTCTTTTATGTATGTTTTAGTATTATTAGTCATTCCATACATTGACAACTTGTTATATACTTATTTATGACGTCATCATAACGTAAAAGATGTATAGACTGCCTCGTTTATCTTAGGTTTGATTTCCGTGTATTTTGTGTGTTTTTGTGCCAATCGGCTCGCCCCAAAAATGGGGTTTAGCAGCAAGAGGTATTTTGTTTCGTAACCTCCTCTGTCTACGCCATTGTGGTTAAAAAGCGTGATGTTACGTTATAGCATTTATAATTATTAATGTATTATCTATAATAATTATGTATATAATTGTACAAAACTATCATGTTTGTTTATATTATTAAATAAATATACAATTATGACCATATCAATGTGTCTTTATTTTGTTTCAATATTAATAATTAACAAATTATGTTTTAACTTATTCAATACCTACTGAAAATATAAAAGTTACCACCATCCATCAAGCTATTATGAACATTAAACATAAGGAATAAAGTACAATTTTATTAATCAGTGTTGCTTAATAATTTCGCCATTCAAAAAGCAGCTGAAACACAAGGTAATAAATTACATTTTTCTTTGATAGACAATTGTGTTTTAGTATAAAAATACTGGTTCCTAAATTCATAGCATTTGAAGTATAAAAAGCCTATTAACATTCGCTTCACTATCATATAGCTATGAACACTTAGCATATACAGCCTCTCAAACATACAAAAGTTAAGCTACACTAACCAAGGTAAATTAAAGATGGGTAGAAGGAATTAGGGTTCCCCAAGTGAGTCACAACTGCAAAAATGCATTTAGAAGCCACTTAAAATTGTCCCCCATTCAAATTAATGTGAAAATATGCATCCTTGTTTAACTTGGAACATTAATAACATTAATATGTATTACTATGCATGGTTGGTGCGGTGGCTGGGCAACCGGCTGCCGTGCAACGTGTCACGGGTTCGATTCCCGCACGGAACAACACTTTGAGTAATCCACAAATTGTTGTTCCAGGTCTGGGTGTCATGTGTATGTGAACTTGTATGTTTGTAAACGCACCCACGACACAGGAGAAAATCCTAGTGTGAGGCAACGTTTTTAAAAAAAGAAAGAAAGAAAATCTATCTCACTCTTGCAGGGAGGGGTAAGGCTGGCTTGCTTTATAAGATACTTTGATTTGTTTAGCATATTTAGACCAACTACAACTTTATTTCATAATAACTATAAGTAGATAATGACATGACAGTCTATAAAATCACTACGTAGTATAAAACAAAGTAGCTATCCGCCGTCTGTCTGTTCCTATGTACGCTTAGATATTTGAAACTACGTAACGGATTTTGATGCGGTTTTTTTAATAGATAGATTGGTTCTTAAGGAATGTTTATATGTATAATACATGCATATTGCACCCGTGCGAAGCCGGGGGGGCGGGTCGCTAGTAATAAATATAATGAATCGGAATGCTGAATACAGAATAAGGTTACATAACAGTGTGATTCTTGTTTGATTCAGCTATTTACAGAGGGCCGATTTTTCCAATGCCAGATAGAAGAGACGATAGAATCTTGATAGTGTAATTTTAATAATAAATTTGCACGCCATATACGGCAGGATACGCTGGATAAAAATTGTACTGTAACACCTTTTGTACCGTATTTTAGCAAATAAACATTTTTGATTTGATTTGAATTTGATAAATTGTACGCGAGGAATAATTTTCCAATGCCAGATATTTATCAGAGGAGCAACTTTAAATATTTGCTAATACTAAAAACTGTAAAATGTCAATTTTATTCTACAGTTTAGAATTAACTGATGATTTAAAAATCGGCCCTAAGTTACCTTTTGACTGCCACTCACTTTTAGTTTTCATAGCAACATCAGTCGACACAACAAAATAAGAATTTTGAAAATCGGTTCATAAATAACGGAGATATCGGCAAACAAAGATAAAAAAAGCATATATACGGTTGAATTGAGTCCCTCCTCCTTTTTTTGAAATCGGTTACAAAGAGAATAATTTGAACCACGCATATCTTTCACCAACCTCAAAGGGGAGAAGGTACTCTTTGTTTGATTTCTTTCCAAAACAATACATACAAACATATGCTTATTGATATAGCGGTCAAAGGGTACAATGTGCGGTCAGTAGTCAAAAGCCACCGTAAGAATCAGTTGCGCTGCAGCGCTTATACACACATCTTTGCGCATCACTCGCGTATTTGTATCGGTGTGCGTACGCGTGCGTGTGTTTATGCGTACGCACGCGTTTTTATGCACATTAATATGAAATTACTTACGCATTGCCGTGTGAACATCACTCGCGGTGGACTTTTGACCTTTGACTGTACATGATAATACAGACTGTACACAGAACACTCCCGAGATGCTAACAAAAAGAAATTGCTTTTATATTTTAATAGTTTTTGTTTTCGTGTTATTAATACAACATCAGCCTCGAGCAGTAGTAGCAGTATTACAACTATTAGTACATTAAAGAAACATTTAATTCCTTTGTATGGAAATTAAACTCAAAAACATTGACCACCACGTGTCAACGTTGTTTGGGCTCCGTTTACACTCTGAAGCCTTAGTACGAGTTTCATTTACGTAACGAGTACCCATTCGGCGCTGTGATTGGCCGGCGCCAATGAAGCAACCAATCAGAGTGCCAAGTATAAATAACTATCGCATTCGTAACGTAGGTAATAGTATCGAGCGCGTACAGTATTGAAATATGTATCAGAGACATTGTAGAACGTACTTTTTTTAAAAAAGAGTAAAGAATGGAGTTTCTTGCTCGTTCTTCTACATTTTGGAATGAGCACCTAGCTTCACCTAACTTCACTGACGGACTGACTGACTGACAGACTATTATTTATTTTGTATTTGTTGACGTTTCAAAAGTACGAAACTATGGTTTAATTGAAATAAATGCTTTGACTTTGACACGTTCGGCGCTCTGGCCGGCTCAAGTGAACCAACCAATCAGAACGCTTAACTCGCTCAATACTGTTACGATACGCACGAATAACTATCGTTATCGTTCGAGTTAAAGAGTTCTGATTGGTTGGTTCACTTGAGCCGGCCAATCAGGGCCAATCGAATGCGCTCGATACTATTACGTTACGAATGCGATAGTTATTCGTGCTTGGCCCTCACAGCGCCGAACGCGTACTAGTTACTATTACTTTAAACGTAAATGAAACTCGTACTAAAGCCTCTGTATACTTATCAATATGGTGGTCAAAGGTCAAATGGTTACACTGTACATATTATTATAATCGATTAGTCCGTGACAACTCCACATAATGTCATTTTACACTATAACTGCACTTCACTGTAGCCTCAACACACACTAGGCGCGTCCGAGCGGCACTATGAAGGAGAGCGCATCTCCCGTAGCGCCCCAGGATACCCTCTGTAACTGGAACACTGTGATCCAGATCGCGAACACAGCTACCCAGGCTATAGCTCCCACTGCACTCATTAGGACATCTGGAAGAGGAGATAATAAGGAATAAGTACTACCTTGTGTTTTGTATACTTCTGCCGATCTATTAAAAAGTGTGTAAGAATATTTTTTTAAGAAAAATGGGGACAAATGAGTAGTCTTGCTATTTTAGAATATGAAAATAATGAGAATAAGGTATATTTGAAAAAAAAATGGCAGAGTTATAAATAAATGTAGGTACATCTCCTGCCCAGTCTCCCCAACCTCCGAATCCCCCACAATCATCAAATTCCTAATCCCCAAAAGGCCGGTAACGCACTAGTAACGCCTTTGGTGTTTCAGGTGTCCATGGGCGGCGCCGATGATCTGTGATGTTGATGATCCGCCAGGTGATCTGTCTGTTCGTTTATCGGCTTATTGCAATTGGTTTTTAGAGTCCAGTGTTTGGTCACTTGTCAATTGGTTTTTTATGGAATAGGAGGATGGACAGATGGATCATCTGATGGTAAGCGATCGGCGCTATACATGGACACCCGCAACACAAGAGAAGTCACAGATGCGTTGGCGGCCTCTTAAAAAGGAATACACTCTTTTCTTAAAGGTTTCAAGGCTGTATCGATTCGAAAATACCGATAACAGAGTGGATATGAACAGGGCCATAGATAAAGGGCGCCCTAGAGGGACACATGACCAGATTGGCGATATAATTAAAAAAGGGACAAATTAAAAGTACCCTTAACCAACGAGTATGCATGAAAAGATTGATGACTGTTGATGAAGTGAAAGAGTCTCTGCCTACCCCCAATGGAGACAGGTGTGAAGTTATATATGTATGTATGTAAGTACTTACATTTTTTAATTTGCTTCTGTTCATCATATGGGGGCTTCATAAATGCCTCTTTGAAGAACCAGATGGCATTGACTGCCCACACAAATGGCAGCAGCAAGCAGCCCACTGGGAAAATTAATAAAGAATAATTCATCACATCATATTATTTTGTATCAGCAGGCAGACTATAGATGAAGATAGAGCACCACGACTTGTTGATGAATGATGAATCAAAAATAAAAAAGGTCTATTAGGTGTCAATCACTCTTTAGTACCTATGTGGTGTGTATTCTCATTTAACTCGTTGAGTACCGGTATTATAGACACAATTAAAGAACAATAGGTCGCGGTCACCGGTGACCGCTTGGTGATTGACAGTTTAAATTCATTTGACTCTAGTATAGTTCGTGTGTTTAATGATAGTCCAAAATAAAATATGTAAAACTATGTGTTTATATTGTCTTAGAAATTACACAATTCACAACTAATTTGAAAACTACAAAATATTACTGGTTAACATTAACACCAAAGCTAGGAGACGACTGGCCGACTGGCGTGCTAACGCTATAGGGTCGCAGGCGCAGCTACGCACTTGAAAACACATAAAAAATGTCAACACTTTAGTTGCCACAAATCCAATACTGACTCCCACTCAAAGTCACAATATGGAAGTTGTTCTTCAGTTCTAGTGTCCGGATTAATTCTCATCAAGGATTGTATAGTACAGTGCGGACCAAACTCGAGATAAGTCAATAAAATCAAGTAACCATGGGTTTTCTCATAGGATATTATAACTGTTCTAAATCGTAAATACGACAAATGGATCTGTTAACTTAAAAACGCGACGTTTTTTTACTATAACATGATAATTATTTGGCATATCTTGTAAGACTCCAAATAAGAACAAAAACTAATATTTTTGTCGCTACGATACCTTTGAAATACCATCGGCACAGTTGCAGTTTCTTATCGTTAGGTAGTCGAGCTAAATCCATTTTGTTTATTTAATAGAAATAACAATGTATTTAGAAACACTTTCTAGTTTCCACTATCAAACAAAATATCTGCTGATGTAGAATGAATTCTTGTGATTAATATGAATCACAAAAATATCGTTGAATGTCAACATAACCTTTATTCTATCCTTGTCTAGCAAAGGTGCCTTGTATGTCGCTAACCCTTTCAAACAGCCACAACATTCTAAAAATCAATAAACTTCGTGTCATTATAAATGTCAATGTCAGTGAAAATAGAATGACATGGGAGGTACGTTCCATTTTGCATTCATAGCAAGACATAGATTAGAATATTATGAAAGAATTCGCTTCTAATTTTTTGTTTGCAAATAACAAATATGCAAACTTGCAAATTGAGTAATAAGTAAATGCATTAACAATATAGTAACTTTTAATTTCATAAAAATTATCTCTTGATACAAAATATATTTTTAGTATTCAAAGCGTTAAACGAACTGGCCATTAAAGTCATACTTTCCATTAGACGCATTGTTTAGTTAGAGTTCCATAAAAAGAAAATATCATATGGTTTGAATAATATATTATACTAATTGTCTTGACTTACTCAAAATCTCGAATTTTGCCTAATTTATTCAGTATCTATCATCTATTATACAATAATTATTAGGAAATTTTACAAACTTTTCACGTTCATAAAATAAACTACGTCAGTCGAAACGTAAATACCTAAAGAAACAAAAATGGCGTAATGTGTTGAATGTCAATAGTTGAAAATGTTTAAAAAGTAAATAAAAATGTTTTCGTTGTCCAATTGTTTGTTATCGTGTATTATTCCACTTCTGTTTAGTACAAAAACATGTAAGTAGTAGTTCTGTAAGTGCTATTGCTCAAATGAGAATGTGAAGTTTTCGTAAAAAATTTGGCATGTACCGAATATTTTTTTTGATACAATACAGGTTTTTTAGCCTTGAAAAGTGTTTTGACCATGGTTGCTAGCTTTAGTTATCAATTAAGGACAAGGTTCGTGGCTAATCGCGGCTTGTGTATCTCAGGATGCACCAGGAAAAATGATGTTGTTTCGCGTAAAAATCGCATTTTCCGAATTTTTGTCATCTAATTTTGGGTAACGGTAACTATGTAACGTTGTTAGATGGAGATCCTTTCTCTTTTGCTCCACTATCCTTTTTGTTTTGTTTATAGTAAGCTCCTCATACTTGTGTTATGACGCTACACAAACTGGTTTTTTATATAAACATTCAAAAACATTCAATCTCGAAGTTTTCTCTGGCAAAGAATGTTGCAGATTACAATATAAATATTAAGCTTTTACCGGCGGCTTTGCTTACGGGAATTAGCCTATGTCCTTCTCCATACTTCCTCTATTATGTACATACATACAATTTTAAGAAGATTGCTTGAGTAGATAAATGTTAAACAGGCAAACAAACCAACTTTTGCATATATATTATTAACTAGTCGAAATTATTAATTAAAATGTTTTCATACAAATGTATGAATCATATTTAAGCACTTATTTATCAACAGCTGACGTGCTTGAACAGCTAAAGCCTAAATAGATAAGAATACATAATCTACAGAATGACAGAATCATGTTTCAACTTGTTACGCCATCAGTTGCCCGTGTAACAATATTGGCTGTAGAACTGCCTGGATGCTAGTGTGACTGCTGGGCACAGGGTCTTGGGTTCGATTCACTGGTTGTGCAAAGTATTATTAGGTGTTTTTAAATCTCACTCATAGCTCGGAATATGGAATTATGCCTGGTATATGACAATAGACTCACCCCCTATTACTTGAGACTCATAACATAAATAGTGAAAAGTGGGTGTTACATTGTATAGTGGCATTAAGTGTCATAATGTGCACCTCTGCTTTAGGTGTAAAAGGTGTGATGTATGTGTAGAATACATTTTGTCACTACCCTAAGTCTTCTCATGGTTGTCTTAAGAGCTGACTAAGGGACTAATTAACCCATTGAAAATCAACACTTAAAGGAGAATGGCAGGTTTCTATGGAAGTTTTGTACCGCTATAAAATTTTGTATTAGTCATTGTTTTAACCAAGTGAATAGTCTGAACGATAGATATTTTTATTATGAAGTTTAGAAAAAAATTACATATTTTTAGAACTTGGGGTTCAAAAGTTATTTCACTTTGAAAATGTGCAAAAGGTATGTTAAGGTGGTACCACACTTGACATTGCGTAGTCGCTTCATTTGTCCAAATATTTGTAGACTTCGTACAAATGGCGTCCAAATAGTATCTCTATATGTAATGGCGTGCAAATATATAGCAAACAAAGAAGAATAAATCCTCCAAACATGTTCTTTTTTGGCCGAACACAACAAATACGCAACGTCAAGTGTAGAGCCACCGTAAGCAAAATATCTATTACAAATGACAGATGACAGTTAACTGAAAAATGTCAATGTGCTCTCATGTGGTTGTTTATTTACAAAAAACAAAAATCTAAAAATACTGCTCGCTACTCAAGTGACTATTACACTTTGTATTATTAGAAAGAAAGAAAGAAAAAAAACCATTTATTTTGCTACGACACACAACAAGAATTTAGAAACCCAAAAATAACCTATGGTGCGTCGCAGCGCAAAAGGCAATTAGGAATGATCCTGTTAATTCAGCAAGCATGATGCACCTATAGAGTTTTAAAGAGTATGCCTCACAATCTTTTTCATTTCTTAGGTGCCTACGAAAATGCAAATTCATAATGTAAGCGACTGTCATTGGGTAGAAGGCCTACATTTAGCAGTGGAAGTCTTGTGGCGGATATGATAAAACTAATGTCTCACTTCACCTTGAATCTTGCAGATAGTCTCAAGGGTCTCAAGTTAATTCGATTTAAACTTAGCTTAGCTCTTTGAGAAAGTATTTCTTCTGAAAACTGGTTGCTTAGCACGCATGTAAGGATTAATTTCTAATAAGTAAGTCAAATTAGTAGAATCATCAACATTTTCATCATTAAGTCTATAAGTGGCCACTGCTGACCGAAGCCTCTTCTCGCATGGAGGTTTGAGCATTAATCACCATACTAGCTCAATGTGGGTTGGTAATTCAAACTTATAATAAGAAATTATAAGCCCATGTTTCCTCACAATGTTTTCCTTCACCATTCGTCAGCGGTGTCTTTGTACTTTCTTAGATTATTGAATATACCAATAACTCGGAAAAAAGACACATTGGACAAAAGGTACTTTGCCGTTGGTAGGTTTCGAACTCTCATGCATGAGAAGCGGGCTTCTTAAACCTCTGGGCCACCACATTACAACTAAAGAAAATGTAAAATGAAAATGAACATTTTTGGTATAAAACTAAAGCTATCTAAATTAAATATGGCATTTATTTTATAGATTGATTCTTAAAATCACTTTTATCAAGATGGAATATATAGTTACTTACTAGGTTAAAATAAAACAAATGTATTATTTTGAAATACTTTTATTTCATTGTATTCAGGTTGTTTCTAGGAGTACTTCATCTAAAAAGAGATCAGGCCGTGTCATAGGTACAGCAGACATCAATTGCTGATATCTGTAAACAAGTAAGATAACTGTAAATAAAGTAAACAAAAGTACATTTCTTTCCTTTAGTTTTATATGTTATAATAAAGTCTGATTCCCTATCTTAAAATGGAAAAGATAAAAATAAATATTTGATTACATTACTTCATTTTATAACATTTATTATAGTTATTCGTATAACACAGATCATAGGAGCTCAAACAGCATGCTAATTAATAAATTATAATTATAACATGAGTATAAACCTATTAGAAACCGCTTATATACTCCACATAGATACATAATTATGTAGGTACATTATATTGAGAATGCATACCTGTTGAAGCTTTGAGAGCCGAACAACATCATCCGGCCTCATCTGTTCTACAAATGGCAATGTTAAAGTGAGGCTTAGTCCATGTTTACATAATACATTACTTCCTGATAGTGAACACTGTGAGGTGGTATGTCAGGTTGTGGTTTTATAGTTTCGACTCTTGTACGGTCTCTCAGTCAGTATGGAACATGATCTTCATCATGGGAAGTAAGCTAAAATAAGTAATATTATTAGAATATGATATTGACTTTAGATTACACTGTATATAGATAATAGTATGGTTAAATTATGCTTTATTACCTCTTGTGGCTGAATCCAATCAAATACTATATGAGCCAGTCTTTACTCCTGTTTGTTGGCGCCTTCAATTAAAACCCTGCGTCACCTTATCATTGCAATGAATCACCCATATACGACACAAACATGCCAGTGACCAATTTGTTTGCTGGACATACTTTCAGCAACATCCGATACATTGCTAATTGCCAGCAAGCATTGCAAATATGGTCGGTAGGAGAGATCTAGAATAAAAAGAATAAAATGATACATTATGGGTAGATAACACTATGCGCCTTCTTTTATTCAGGCAACATGGTGACTTTCGATATGTTATGGGTAAACTAGGTACTTACATCTCTAGGATAAGTCCACATTGGGATATTGTTGACCACGTCTAATCTTCACTCTCATTTTCTAGAGCATGCCGTCTCATGTGCGACAAACTCTGAATGCAATTAATACACTGTAAATTCATCATCGCGACAAATAACAACACACTGCACAAAACAATGTAAATAAGTGTCTTTTCGCAATTGTCACAACAATGATCCAATAATACCAATTTGGGCTACGGAGGAACGGTTGCCAAACTCAACGTATCACCAGATGAATAAAATAACTTCAAATTCAACAAACACATCATAACATCGCATTTGAAACAAACAGCAATGCGCCAGTATTGACAAATTAATTGTCAATGTCATCAAGACAAATGCCAGTTCAACATTGCCATAATATTCAAGTTTGTTAAAATGTTAATTATCATTAATAATCCATGTAAACGTAGATTTAGATTGGATGTAGATTTTTATATTTACTTATAAAAATGTTTGAAATGGATAGGAAAATATTTCATTGATAGATATTAAAATAAATGAGTTTATGAAATAGCGAAATTCAATATGCTCTGATTTCATCTTTACGCATGGCAACTTTGTAAACGTCAATCGCGGTTCGTTTTACGTATAGTGGATTGCTTTTTATCATTATTGAATATCAGTTTTTCTAGGGTTTCCCAAGTTTTAAAAATCTATTAAATATGCTAACATAACGTACTTAGGAGGTTCTATAATGACCCAATTTTTTAATGACAAATCTTTTTTTAGCGAAGCGGTACAAAATCTGCCGTTCTCCTTTGTTCATACAAAAGTAGTCTCTAAACATTGGAAATAAGGTCTATAATGGAGTTAGTGGAGGGTAGTCACCGGTGACTGCTTGGGGATATATGGGTTAATGGAGACCAGGGAACGGCATTCTTTGATAAACTTGAACCTTTTAAACTCATCCCCACTTGCTCTATTGACAAGATGGTCCATAGTAGAGCAGTGGACTGCCAAGAACTGTTGACTATGATAAAGTTAAGTGCAACAAAAATTAACGAGATTTTGTCTTATTGGAGAAACTGTCCAATTGCAAATAGCTTCAAATTATATTTCAATTTGTGTCACGGGTTCGAATCTGGGTGTCATGTGTATGTGAACTTGTATGTTTGTAAACGCCCCCACGATACAGGAAAAAATCCTAGTGTAAGGCAACAATTTTTAAAAAAAGAAATTCTATTATTTTTTGTATATCATGAGATTGCAAGTTGACTTGGAGAAAAATGTACAGACAGTAAAATCGTAAATGGGGTACTACAAGGCTATTGTAACTTGATAGTAGCTAGTATCCGTATATTATGGAAAAATAACATAACATCACACCTTTTATCCCCGAAAGGGTAGGCAGAGGTGTACATTATGTCACTGTACAATGTAACACTGGAGGTTCTTCAAGAAGGGAGTGAATAGGTTTCTTAAGGGTCGGCACGACGCATGTAATGCCACCGTCGTGGCCACAGTAACAACTTACCATCACCAACTTTTTTGCCACCGTCATGGTATAAAAAAAGACACCCACTTATCACTATTTATGTTATGAGTCCCATGTAATAGGGGGTGAGGGAGGGATTCCAAACTCCGTGCTACAACTCGAGACTTTTTTAAAATACCCAGTAATACTTTGCCCGACCCGGTAATCGAACCCGAGACCCCATGCCTGGCAATCGCACTTGCGACCATTTGGCCAAAGACGCAGTTGTGGAAAAATAATTTCATGATAATTGTTTACGTACACACTGACAACATTTTATGTACACATTAAATGTTTTATTACTTTAAAGTAATTGCTGGCAAGTCACTGTAGGTACCATTAAATATTATGATAGGTATTTGAATAAAAAATGTTAATTATTTTACTGCGGACATTATCTGATGTTAGTGCACCATCTATTAACACATGTAATATCTACAATAGAGCAAGCTCTCTACAGTATAAATGTTATAGTCCTGTTCCTTAAATATAAATGTGTTTTTAAACTGTCAAACACCGAGAGGACACCGGTGACCGCAACCTATTGTTCTTTAATTGTGTCTATAATGACGGTACTCAACGAGTTAAGACTGATACTGATTGAAAACGAGTAATCTTAACTTATGGAGTTTCTTGCTCGTTCTTCTATATAGGAATCTACACTTTGGAATATGTAAATAGCTTCACTTGAAGACTGACAGACAAACTGACAATTTTATTCAATATTTTGTTTATCTGTGTCCGGTATATGGCAATAGGCACACCCCAAATTACACGGGACTCATAACATAAATAGTGAAAAGTGGGTGTTACATTGTACAGTGGTATAATGTGCACCTCTGCCTACCCCTACGGGGATAAAAGGCGTGATGCATAGAGCAACACGAACTCCGGTCCGCCGGTGGCCCGTGTTGCTCTATGGGCGTGATGTTATGTTATGTTATGTTTGTTGTACTTATATAAATTTTTACCTTCGTAGATAAGTTATAATATTATGAATGCGAAAGTTTGTATGTTTGTCACTTCAAAACGGCTAAAGGGACCGGGATGAAATTTGAAACAGGGGTAGGTTATGATCCGGAATAATACGTAGGCTACTTTATATCCCACAGAAATGCGCGCAACGCCGTTGACAGGAACTAGTTTAACTCGTCGAGTACCGTATTTATAGACACAATTAAAGAACAATAGGTTGCGGTCACCGGTGACCACTTGGTGTTTGACAGTTTAAGAATATATCTATCTATACAATGTTGAAAAGTGCGTTAAAATCTGTTCATTAGTTTTCGAGCATACTGTGTTTAAACAAACAAACAGATGTTTTTATGTTATAAATGGTTGCTAATCGAACTCGTCACACGTGTAGCACGTTTTGTAGATACAGTAATGCCAACGGATGTCTTTATTAAAAGTTACTTATAATAATAATATTTTCGGAAATATCATAGAATCACGTAATTTCTAGGAAATAGAGCCGTGTGTTGATAGCAGAGTACAATTTAGAGTAGACTTGTTATGTCAATGCCCCTGTTCTTCCCGTTGGTGTCGTATACCCGACTAATGGCCGAAATTAAGAAGCTATCTTTCAAACCGTCTGTGGATCTCGGTCTCTCGGTTTTTGACAGAATCGATTTTGATCCAAAAGTCTCAAGTGGACTTGTGCCCGCTATATGGCAATAGGCTCACCCCCTATTGCATGGGACTCATAACATAAATAGTGAAAAGTGGGTGTTACATTGTCCAGTGGCATTAACTCGTCGAGTACCGGTTTTATAGACACAATTAAAGAACAATAGGTCGCGGTCACCGGTGACCGCTTGGTGTTTGACAGTTTAAGTGCCGTAATGTGCATCTCCGCCTACCCCTTCAGGGATAAAAGGCGTGATGTTATGTTATGTCTTTCGTTGAGTTCGCTTCTCTATAACGTTATACTATTATAACTCACAATAATAATATGCAAGATAAAGCTGAGTCACACAGAAAACATCAATTAAATACTTAATGTACACACAACAGATCAAGTGAAACAAACCAGTTAATCTTGGTCCCGCTTCGTATGATTCTTCAGTACATTCAAAGGTCAGGTACTGGTTACTGATTGAGCTATATAAAACCAGCGTGTCTTGGTCCCGCTTTGTATGATTCTTCAGTACATTCAAAGGTCAGGTACTGGTTACTGATTGAGCTATATAAAACCAGCGTGTCTTGGTCCCGCTTTGTATGATTCTTCAGGATATTTGACGATCAATTTATACTGGTTATGCATAGCTTGAGGTGAAGCAGATTGTACTACCGTCCCAGGTGTATACTTACGTACATAGTTATACAAAACCTGTTTATGTTTTTATAATAACTATCGTGAGACATACTAAATTAAACCTTTGAGTACCGTCATTATAGACACAATTAAAGAACAATAGGTAGCGGTCACCGGTGTCCTCGCGGTGTTTGACAGTTTAAATAAAATCGCGGGTTACTCACGTGAATATACTGAGAAAAGCTCTACTAGTTTCGAACCACAGAGGGGTTCTTCCTCATGAGCAGCGTGCGCGGTCGCGGCGACGTCGCGCAGCTCACAGATGACCCGCGATTTTAGTTAATAAACCTGTTTATCTTGATCCTGCTTTGTATGATTCTTACATCAAATAGTACATTCAAAAGTCAAATTTTAAAACGTTGCCCCACACTTGATGTTTCTCCTGTGTCGTGTGTGCGTTTACAAACATACAAGTTCACATACACATCACACACAGACCAGAAACAACAATCCGTGGATCACACAAAGAGTTGCTCCGTGCGGGTATCGAAACCGCGACACATTGCTCGGCCGCCGGCTGCCCAGCCACCGCGCCAAACGTACAGTCAAGTTTATAGTTTAGCAACTTAATACTGGAAATGCATAACTTGATAATTGTCTAGTATCGGCCAGACCAGGTGCACATACATACCTAATTACGTAGTTATGTGATAAGTGGTATGAGTAACACATAGTCCATAGTTATGTCAGTATGTTGATTTTTTTGAGGGGGAAATCAACCAATGGCTTCTCCCGCTCAGGTGAGGCGGGAGGGAGTGTCAGTCTCTTACTGACTAAAAACCACCTCGTTCCTACTCCTGCACTTCGAGCCGAAACTCCGGCAACCCGTTAGGTCCTCCGCGGCTCCGTATCGCCATCAGCCCTATTGGGCTCCATCTGTCGTAGTCTACTGGGTAACCGAGAATACATGAAGTTTCGTCTGCCTCCTTCCCTTTTTAACTTCAAAAATGAAGGAGGTTCTGTGTGTGTACGATTATCTCACGATTGGCTGAACCGATTGTAAAGCGGTTTTCAGAAGTGTTTGTTACATTCAGAGGGAGGTTTTAATATATTAATTATTAACCGAAAAAGCGGTGGTTGAACTCGGTTTTAAGCGTAGTTTATAAAATAATTGTTGAAGAAAGAGGTCGATTTCCGGGTTGACCAAAATGCTATTGAAGTTTGTTTGTGTAATAACCGATAAATTGTGCGTGGAAGCTATGGGAATAGGGTCACCCCCTAGCGAAGAGTAGTATAATTAGGTACTGCATTTGTACGCTATATTGTAACTACCATCGTTCGGGAAATTGTCAATCAAACTACTGTCAAAATTATTCAATACATTTACTATGTTTTTGGCAATAAGATTTAAAACTTGTTATCCTGAACAAAATCTTCATATAAGTATATCTTTCTTTTCCAGGTTCAGGCGACCTCCCCGGGCCCTGGCTAGCTCTCTACTCGCCCGGCGAGCCAGAGTACACAGACGTGGTAGTTCGCCGCGTGCACGAGAACGTCACACTAGTGTGTGAACTGCGAGGCGATGCTAGCGCCACGCCGCGGATATACGTGTGGAACTACATGAACGATAACTCCACTAGTGGCGACCTGTGAGTACACGACCACTTGTTATTAGTCTAAGCAGGTAGTGAATGGTGTTGGTCTGATATTGTAATGGGACAAATTCTTCTATCAAATGTGGAAAAACAAACATTCTACAACACAATTTTAGCACTACGTCCTGCGTGAGCGATTTAGAAGCGAACGCTATTATGAGGTGGTGACACGCGAATTCAATGCGATGCGGTGCGACGAGGCGTCGATGTCCTACGTGCACGCGAATCGTTTCGCTTCGTTTTTGTTTCCGTTATTGTAACTAAACAAAAACATAACAAGCACCGCATCCAAATATGACAGTTCGCGGGAAAATATCGCGTCCGCGTCATTTCGCGCCGCTCCGCACCGCATCCTATACGGAACAATTTAATATGTGTCGACAGTTTGTTGTTTGCGCGCCGCTCCACACTGGCTTCTAGCTATCACTCAAGCAGGACGTAGCGTAAGTTTGGGAGAGCCATGCTTCGGCACGAATGAGCCAGCTCGACCGGAGTGACACCATAGTCGAGCAGAAAAAAGACGTAAAACAACACTTGCGTTGTGTTTTGTCATATGAGTGAGGTTACCGGAGGCCCAATTACCCTTGCAATTACAATTCTTGAATTTCTAATCCTCTAAAGGCCGGTAACGCACTTGGCCAGCAGTGGCCACTTATGGGCCGTTGATGTGATTTAGTAAAAAAAATTGATAATCTGAACCAAATCCCTTTAATTCCAGGATCTTGAAAGGTGATCCCAAAGGTCCAGCGGTGAACAGTACATTGACCAGGTTCGACCTGCAGGAGTCAGACAGCGGCCAGTATATGTGCTCGGCGCCGCCATTCAGCGTCACCAAGTATTTAGTTGTTCAGACTAAGGGTAAGCGTTTAGCAGTAGTTCTTTATACTTCTGTCTACTTCTGGTCTTCTGGACTGTGCTGGCGACAGACTAGATGCATAGTACATGCAATTGCAATTAATTTAGCTCCTTAGATTTAATTTAATCTTATTTATTGTTGCCTGGTTCTTAAAAATGTTTGTCACATCAGTTCCTCCTATCAAGGAGGAATGCCACAAGGTAGTATTTTAGGTCCACTTAATTTCCTAATTAGGTTTAAAGTGGACAGTGAGTCTTAAACACTTGCTTACTCTTAAATTTTATTTTGATAAGTAATGAGGGCTGCTATATTTCTGCTCACCAGATGGCGCTAGCTAGTATGTGCCTCTTGTTCTTCGTCCAATAGGGAATTAGCTAGTGTTGTAGCACACCATTAGACGTTTAATTTTTAATAGCTAAAGTGATTGGACAAAATCTTCTGGCCACATTTGCACCATCTGGTGACAAAAACCTGTAGCCCCCATTACGGTGATGTTGGCTACTGTTAGTAGTGCCTCAAGGTAGCATATTGGGACCATTCTTAAGTATTAGTAAGGCGTTTACTTGGAGTGCCGCAAGGTAGTATCCTAGGTCCACTCCAATATACACTATACACAGGTCCCCAATTCTGCCGTCGCGGCGCGTTCGGTTGCGGGTCGCGTTGTATAGCAGCGCAGTATGTATGCGACGGCCGCAGAGACTGCGAGCTCGCCGAGGACGAGGCCATTCATATGTGTCCACCGCTGGGATGTGCGCGTAAGTATACTGTTATATTTACTATTATGAGTAGAGTGAGGTTTCTCATAAATTATTTTAGATCTTATTTTTGAAACGTGATCTCAACTTTTTAAGCATCGTCCTAATACAACGCGATTGAACGAGTAAGCGATGAGTATATCGTAATTGTCCGATGGCAAAAACTGTGTGTCCCAGCATCGCGCGAATTGACGATGCTAGCGAGTGTAGACTAAGAACGATTTCTCGCAAATTAGGTGTTGCGCACTCACGCGAAGCGGCTTACGGAGCCCTAATTATCCCGCCCCCCCCCCCAAATCTAAATCCCTAACAATCGTCAAGTTCCTAATCCCAAAAGGTCGGTAACGAACTTGTAACGCCTCTGGTGTTCCGTGTGTCCATGGGCGACGCCGATTGCTTACCATCAGGTGATCCGTCTGCTCGTTTACGGGCTTATCCCATAAAAAAATTAGCTCTCACTGTTATGTATATAATTTCTATTCTGTCTGTGTGTGTATGCAGGTAGCGACAAGTTGAACTGTTCGTCAGGCCGCTGTATCTCTGAGTCAGCGTGCTGCCGCGCGGCCAGCGCGCTGTGTCCGCAGCCGGCCTGCTGCGACGAGCACCCGCGGTACTCCCGGCTGGAAGGTCATTATCTCACCAATCCTTACTAATATTATTAATCTGAAACTGAGTTAGTTTGTTTGTTCCACCTTCACGCCGTAACTACTCAACCGATTGCTTTGAATTTTTGCAGATGTAAAGTTAGAAGTCTGGATTAAATAATAGGAATCTTTTTATCCTGGAAAAATTTGATATTCCCGAGGGAAAACAAAAGTATTGGTACAGATGGCGCTGTATATATTGATATATGTCACATAGGCTACTTTTTATCCTTTTGTGACGCGAGCGAAGCCGCGGGTAAAAGCTAGTAATACATAACATCACGCCTTTTATCCAATGGTGCACATTACGGCACTTAATGCCACTGTACAATGTAACACCCACTTTTCACTATTTATGTTATGAGTCCCATGTAATAGGGGGTGAGCGTATTGCCATATACCGGGCACAATTCCAGACTCTGTGCTACTACTGAGAATTTTTTAAAAACCCTGTTATATCGAACCCGAGACCCTTTGCTAGGCAGTCGCACTTGAGACCACTCGGCGAATGGTTTTTGAGTATTTCAACATTACACCACTTACATTATGAGTCCCATGTAATACTATGTATGTCGTATTGTATTGACTGTCGTGGTGGCCCGGAGATTTAAGACGCCTGCTTCTCATGCATGAGGGTGCGGGTTCGAAACCTACCAACGGCAAGTACCAATGTGACTTTTTCCGAGTTATATGTACTTTCTAAGATTAATTAGACACCACTGACAAACGGTGAAGGAAAAACATGGTGAGGAAACCTCGGCTTATAATTTCTAATTATAAGTTTGAAATCGCCAACCCGCATTGAGCAAGCGTGGTGATTAATGCTCTAACCTCCGTGTGAGAAGAGGCTTTGCTCAGCAGTGGGCATTTATAGGCTGTTGATGATTGTATTGCAGGCTACGTGGACGTGGAGTACCCGCCCTTGTTCGAGGACCGGCACGCCGGCGACGACTACGGGTTCATACAGTCCACCATCTACACTGTCACCGGTACGTACCAACACATTTATAATTATACTCAGCTGAAACTCATTAATATCGATCAATCTTGAATTTCCTTATCTCTAAATGTCAGTTGCGATATTTTTGTTTAAACTAAATATCTAGTGCTGCTTAAAAAATTTGAGGCTTAAGCACCTCTTTGCCGAGTTCACACTAGTTATAAACGGATCGAAGTCATATTCCTTACAAACATTGTTAAAGTGTCTGCTTGCACGCATAATGTAACTGTTCTGCCTGTAGTTAGATGAGGGACGGGATACGTGTAGAGGTGGATTGAATCTAAATATTTTATTAGGTACATTAAATTTGATTTTTGATAATAGTTCTGGACTATCCACATTGCCGTTAAGAACCTTAAACAAGAATAGACAATCTGCAATATTGCGTCTATCTACCAATGGTAACAGATGGAATTTTCTACAGAGTTCAAGGTAACGGGCAGACTGGTATGGTATATTTTGGTGAAAGCAGAGATATTTTATAAAACGTTTTTGAATGATTTCGTATATTAATTAACTGAATTCTAAATACGAGGGGGTTGAAGTCGGTTGTTCAAGTTTTAAACGTGGTTTGTAAAAGAATTATTGGCTTATCATCTGAAATCTTCCCGCAGCGTGCGCCCTGATCTTCATGATAGCGGTGGTGCTGCTGGTGTCTGCGCTGTGCAAGATGCACATGAAGCGAGCCGCACTACGCAGCTACGCACACGCGGACCGAGCCACCAGGCATCACTACACCATGCAGTACGCACAGGTACGGCGTCACTACACCATGCAGTACGCACAGGTACAGCTCACTACACCATGCAGTACGCACAGGTACAGCTCACTACACCATGCAGTACGCACAGGTACAGCTCACTACACCATGCAGTACGCACAGGTACAGCTCACTACACCATGCAGAACGCACAGGTACAGCTCACTACACCATGCAAACGCACAGGTACAGCTCACTACACCATGCAGTACGCACAGGTACAGCTCACTACACCATGCAGTACGCACAGGTACAGCTCACTACACCATGCAGTACGCACAGGTACAGCTCACTACACCATGCAGTACGCACAGGTACAGCTCACTACACCATGCAGTACGCACAGGTACAGCTTACTACACCATGCAGTACGCACAGGTACAGCTCACTACACCATGCAGTACGCACAGGTACAGCTCACTACACCATGCAGAACGCACAGGTACAGCTCACTACACCATGCAGAACGCACAGGTACAGCTCACTACACCATGCAGTACGCACAGGTACAGCTCACTACACCATGCAGTACGCACAGGTACAGCTCACTACACCATGCAGTACGCACAGGTACAGCGTCACTACATCATGCAGTACGCACAGGTACAGCTCACTACACCATGCAGTACGCACAGGTACAGCTCACTACACCATGCAGTACGCACAGGTACAGCTCACTACACCATGCAGTACGCACAGGTACAGCTCACTACACCATGCAGTACGCACAGGTACAGCTCACTACACCATGCAGTACGCACAGGTACAGCTCACTACACCATGCAGTACGCACAGGTACAGCTCACTACACCATGCAGTACGCACAGGTACAGCGTCACTACATCATGCAGTACGCACAGGTACAGCTCACTACACCATGCAGTACGCACAGGTACAGCTCACTACACCATGCAGTACGCACAGGTACAGTGCATCTGCATCACTACAGTGTGTGTGTTCCCCGATTACTCGAAGACAAGTGAATCTTTTATGAGATTTGTTTTTTACTTTCATTTTTATATTCCCAGACGCACCGCTTCCCCCCGTGCTACGAAGCGTCCCGGCTACTGGAGCAAGACGCCAGGGACGACGCCGCGCCGCATGACGTCAGGCCCACCCAGGTATACATACAAACATACATAAATGCTTTGACTTCATTATATTATACAACATACACGCAAGTACTGTTATGTCGTATGGTGACGATAGAATAAAATCTTTTATCACTGCTTCTCTTGTTGCGGGTGTCGTATACCCGACTAAGGGACTACATAAACCCACAGTTACGATATAAATAATCCAATCCACAAACTTTAGGATCGATTTTTGACATAAGTCTTGTCTGATAGGGACGCCTGTCGGACATGGAGGTCCTGTCTGACATAGACGTCCTGTCTGACATAGACGTCCTGTCTGACATAGACGTCCTGTCTGACATAGACGTCCTGTCTGACATAGACGTCCTGTCTGACATAGACGTGCTGTCTGACATAGACGTCCTGTCGGACATAGACGTCCTGTCTGACATAGACGTCCTGTCTGACATAGACGTCCTGTCTGACATAGACGTCCTGTCTGACATAGACGTCCTGTCTGACATAGACGTCCTGTCTGACATAGACGTCCTGTCTGACATAGACGTGCTGTCTGACATAGACGTCCTGTCTGACATAGACGTCCTGTCTGATATAGACGTCCTGTCTGACATAGACGTGCTGTCTGACATAGACGTGCTGTCTGACATAGACGTCCTGTCTGACATAGACGTGCTGTCTGCCATAGACGTCCTGTCTGACATAGACGTGCTGTCTGCCATAGACGTGCTGTCTGACATAGACGTCCTGTCTGACATAGACTTCCTGTCGGACATAGAGGTCCTGTCTGACATAGACGTGCTGTCTGACATAGAGGTCCTGTCTGACATAGACGTGCTGTCTGACATAGAGGTCCTGTCGGACATAGAGGTCCTGTCTGACATAGACTTCCTGTCGGACATAGAGGTCCTGTCTGACATAGACGTGCTGTCTGACATAGAGGTCCTGTCTGACATAGAGGTCCTGTCTGACATAGACTTCCTGTCGGACATAGAGGTCCTGTCTGACATAGACTTCCTGTCTGACATAGAGGTCCTGTCTAACATAGACGTCCTGTCTGACATAGACGTCCTGTCGGACATAGACGTCCTGTCTGACATAGACGTCCTGTCTGACATAGACGTGCTGTCTGCCATAGACGTGCTGTCGCATATAGACGTCCTGTCTGACATGGACGTGCTGTTTGACATGGACGTGCTGTCTGACATAGACTTGCTGTCTGACATAGACATGCTGTCTGATAGACGTCCTGTCTGACATAGACGTCCTGTTTGACATAGACGTCCTGTCTGACATAGACGTCCTGTCTGACATGGACGTGCTGTTTGACATGGACGTGCTGTCTGACATAGACTTGCTGTCTGACATAGACATGCTGTCTGATAGACGTCCTGTCTGACATAGACGTCCTGTTTGACATAGACGTCCTGTCTGACACGGACGTCCTGTCTGACATGGACGTGCTGTTTGACATGGACGTGCTGTCTGACATAGACTTGCTGTCTGACATAGACATGCTGTCTGATAGACGTCCTGTCTGACATAGACGTCCTGTTTGACATAGACGTCTTGTCTGACACGGACGTCCTGTCTGACATGGACGTGCTGTTTGACATGGACGTGCTGTCTGACATAGACTTGCTGTCTGACATAGACATGCTGTCTGATAGACGTCCTGTCTGACATAGACGTCCTGTTTGACATAGACGTCCTGTCTGACACGGACGTCCTGTCTGACATGGACGTGCTGTTTGACATGGACGTGCTGTCTGACATAGACTTGCTGTCTGACATAGACATGCTGTCTGATAGACGTCCTGTCTGACATAGACGTCCTGTTTGACATAGACGTCCTGTCTGACACGGACGTCCTGTCTGACATGGACGTGCTGTTTGACATGGACGTGCTGTCTGACATAGACTTGCTGTCTGACATAGACATGCTGTCTGATAGACGTCCTGTCTGACATAGACGTCCTGTTTGACATAGACGTCCTGTCTGACACGGACGTCCTGTCTGACATGGACGTGCTGTTTGACATGGACGTGCTGTCTGACATAGACTTGCTGTCTGACATAGACATGGTGTCTGATAGACGTCCTGTCTGACATAGACGTCCTGTTTGACATAGACGTCTTGTCTGACATAGACGTCCTGTCTGAAATAGACACAGAGATTTAGGATTAAAATGAGTTATTAATTTCTAAAATTCAGATCAAGGGCCAAAACTAATAACAAAATGTGTGACATTCACAGTCGATTCTAGACATTACTTGTATGGAGTTTTGACACCCGTGGCAAGAGGATCGGTGGGTACAAATGTATCTTATATCTTAGTGCAACCGATGAAGTAATGGAAGGACCGAAGAAAGAAAAAAACATTTATTCAGCACCAGCTACGATGCAGCATACATAAAATATAAGAAAGACAATAAAAGACAGTGAAAGTAATAATAATATATGTTTTTGATTCCAAGTGCGGCACGGAGTGTCCCCCAGTGGAACCTGTCCCGGAGCCCGACACTGGCGCAGAGCGAGGCAGCTTCGGACTCGCTCGGCTCTCTGCTATATTCTCCTCGAGATACAGACAGGTAAGGATACGTACTCTAAGCCAAGTATACCCTAGGGGACGAATGTCCTGCGACACGTGTCGCCAGCGACGTCGGGTGAAGTAGCACGACGTTGCCGGACGCTGGTGGACATAAGTCACGCGTTGTCACCAAATTTTCGACGATTATTACATTTTTTTTTTTCATTTATTTATGTGATAAGCCGGTAAACGAGCAGACATATCACCTGATGGTAAGCAATCGGCGTTGCCCATGGACATGACCGGATGTCGCATGGGCAACGCATGGAAAACCCTCTGGTTTTCCGGATGTCCATGGGCAACGCCGATACTGATCGCCTCTGCGTTACAAGTGAGTTACCGGCCTTTTGGGGAATAGGAGTTTGAGGATCGTTGGGGATTCAGAGATTGGGGGAGGGGGGGGGGGAGGGGTAATTGAGCCTCCGGTGACCTCACCCACACGACGAAACACAACGCAAGCGTTGCTTCACGATTATCTTCTGCTCGTTGGTATCACTCCGGTCGAGCCGGCCCAGCAGTGTTAATTTTTTGGTTAATTATTTTATTTTAAAATTAACATTATTTATTTCTCGAACAGGTACCAACACAGAGCGACGTGGAACTAACAAACGTGCGCTCGACATCTCTAAACAACTCCCCGACCAGGAACCGAACCCTAGACAACTACCGCAGCCCAACATTCTGCGACCTAAACGCATCAGAGTTCTACTTCACGAACCCTGAAACTGGAGATTTCGCAAGAGATTTGAACTACATGGCGAGACCAGTGGACTATATGAGGCGAAACTCAAATACCACCTTAGAACGGGTGATTGACCAACTCGACCGGCAGCGACTGACCCTACAACTAGGTAGGTTCCAACTGACCATTCCCAGGTTCGGACGCCGGGCTGAGACCGACAGGCGACCGGACACGCCCAACGTGGCTGAAATCAACATAGATGACCTTGATTTTGTTCGGATGACGTCTCACGATACTTATACACTCAATGGACGGACTATACGTCTTCTGGGGGCGAATTTCGAAAATTATCCCGTTTTACCCGATGGGACGAGACCTCCGCCCTACAATGAGGCAATGAGGTGCAAATTTTTCGGACCTCCTCCGGAATATTTGAGCCGCGAAGGCCTCAATGCTAGGGTCGATGAGGAAGCGAGGACGAACGTTGAAATGCCGCCTTGCTACGACGATTTAGGTGATGGAGCTAGCTCTAGCAACAACAACGGGGAGTCGAACCTCAACACGGTGAGAGATAGATCGTTAGCAGCGCCCTCAACAACGGAAAATAACGATAACGTGAACAATAACGCGAGTACGTCGCAGGCAACTGTCGACAACGTTGACGCTAACATGAATGTTGCCAGTATAAGTTCCATAATTAATAACTTGCCCGCGATAGATAGTGACGTCAACGCCAACGATACAACGGTTAACTGTTAATAACGGATAACCGTTTTTGTAAAAACGTTGCAGTTTTTCTTGGTAGCTAATATTATGTTGACGGTACGTTAGAGTATACTTGACATTCTAACTCAATGTTAATCATCGGTACCTAAGAGGTACTTAGCGCGAGAGAGCTAAACTAACCCGTTACTTGTACTGTTAGGTGTCACTTAAATGTCAATAACTGTCACCTATCTCAACTCAGGAGGTTCCTTATACCGGGTATAATGTCGTAGCCTGCGCCACCTACCTCTTAAATTTGAAGCAACTACGAAGCTTATATATAGATGACAGTTAACGACATTTTAAGTCATACCGACCGACATAAGTGACAGCTAAGATTACAAGGGGTTAGGTTAGGTTAGGTTAGGGTTAGTTAAGCTCCCTAACGCTAAGTAACTCTTAGTCAAGGGATACTGTAGGGCTGATCAAAATAGCCATTAGTATTTCAATGAAAAGTATACTTTAATATGCTGTAGTCACAAGTTTTAATCAGTTCAATAAATGTATAATTTAACCAAAATAAGTTAATGTTGAACCCTTGCCGTATAATACCAGTTGAAACTATGCCAGTAACGTTTTTAATTTGAGCAGCTAATTTACAAATCATGCTTTAAAATACTAGTGCAAGTTAAGCAGCTGTAGGTTAGGCCGCGAAATGGATGGGTGGCATATTATAGAGTGGATAGTTCTAATTATACCACCGTATTTATAGATATTAGTGCCTTAGATTGTCTATTAGTTTTCTAATAAGGTGATAGAAGTAGATAATATTTTTTGAAAATATTTGGATTTTTCGTTCGTTTCCCGGGGAGGCCAAAGATTAAATTTGATGTTGTTTGGTATACATTAGATTCTAGAACAATGCCCGACTTTTGGTTTTAAGGGCCACCCTAGTATAGTAGAAGCCATCATACTATAATAATAAAAATAATATACTTAACGCTGTTTTCACCAACAACCCATATACCATCTCTTATCAAGAGTTATAGCGTATCGTAAGACCTATACGAAGTCCTTACTTGTACTGTTAGGTGACACTTATAGTTTGGTGAAATCCTCTTATCTTAAAGATTTACAAATCAAATCAAATCAAAATCATTTATTTGCCCGAACAAGGTATACAGTGGTCACATTATGATTATAGTCTCTCTTATTCTGCCCACAATTCGGGCGTGCAAAAATTTTACATGGAAGTCATAAACATTAAAACTATAAAACAAGGTATGTCATATTAAGTGAGAAAACAATGTCATTAAAGGTACACAAAGCACCGCTAATTAGTTAGCGGCGCTACACATCGACACAACTATCATTTACACAATATACATGTGTGGGTAATTTCATATCAATAGATATGTATAGAAACATTCGTCTATCACACACATCTTGGTATTTAAAAATCATTTTTGTGTCGGTATACGCAATAATTTAGTAAATAAGTTAAAATAAAAACGAGGGTAAAGATAAAATTACTCATAACAAACTTTGAATAAATCGAAATCAAAAATAATGAACGATCGAGCTATACAATACCCATATAAATATAGTGCTTTCTCATTGTAATTTTATGTTACTGAATGATATAAAATATTTCGATGATCTCATCTACAGCACGCTTGGCGCAATGGTTATCGCCTCCAATTGTCAAGTAAAGTGCCGCCGGATCGATTCCAACGTTCACATGTTGTTTTAGAATTAATTTATCAAATATTTGAAATTAGAAACAATTAAATCTTTTCTTTTTTTTCCTTTCCTATTGTTCTAAATCTTATGTTAATTTTAATAGTAAATACTTTAGATTTATTTATACCTATAATATCTTTTATTTATATTTTAGTTCTAGTTATTTATTATTTAGAATAATCTCATTTGCTTCATGCATTTCAACCAACTTAAATAAGATAAAAACAGTAAAAAAGTAATTAACTGTGATTTCTTAATGGTTCGATACCTGAGTATATTTGCAATGTTTGTGGCGACCATAGAAATCTCGAGTCATTTTATTTTACACGCTTATGAAGTAACTACCGACTATTTAAAACATGTTTTTCAAATCACCCGACTTACAAAATAATTGCGTTCTTAGTTGTCAATTTATGAGGATTTCATAGTTTATTGCTACACTACTTATATTCGTGTGCAAAGTTATTTTTATTTTTACAAGATGTTCCAACACCTATCAACATTTAAAAAGGCTGAAACCATTGTTTTGCATGAGCAAAACATAACTAACAATAACTGAAATAGCAAGGCGTTTAATGATATCGGTGAGTAAATAAGATACTACGTTGATATTCTAAATAATATTTATTTCATTTTGTAACTCGACACACCTATCAATTTTTGCACTAGAATAAAATAATTATTGCAACTTATTATGAAGTTCAATATTATAAAGATATATTAATAATTTATTATTAATTGTATTGTAACTTGACTTGTTTTTGTTAGGAGTGTTTCTTTAAAACATATCTGGTTAGGGATTTTTATTCCTTACGCCACTACTTAATTATAAATTATTATTCTAACATTGTGTTTACTTATATTTATTATTATTTTTAAGTAACTTTAATTCCTGTAAAGTATTTCCTGGTATTTTAAATACTTATTTGTTTGGTATCAACAGAGGAGATCCATGCAGTTATGGGTGCACAGATATGCGGAGACCGGTGACGTTAAACATCGTCGACGTGGGCCTAAACCAAAGGCAAATTCATCGGCTCGGCACTACGACATCGTAGCCAGGCACATGGCTGATCCGTTCCTGCCAACCCGCACTACAGCGACAGCACTGAATGTTTTAATACAAACTGTACGGAGACACCTGCATTCTGGTTTAAGGTGCAGGAAGCCAGAGAAGAAAATATTGTTATCTGTGGTTCACCAGCAAAAGCGCTAAGAATTTGCTAAGGACTTTATTAATTTTGATTGGGCGAACAGTGTAATCATATTGAGCGACGAAAAGACTTTCAAGTCGGATAAGGATGGGCGTAAAATATTGTGAAGAAAAGATGGAGAAAGGTATACGAATTGCAACCTTCTGCCTTGTAGGATCAGTGATTGTATTGATTTCGGAATCAATTATTGAGCCTGTCAAACTCTGCCTTTATTAAAATTAACATAAAATAATGTTTAATTTTTTTAAGAATATTAAAATGCTGTCTAGAACATACGGTGAAGTGATGTTATTGTTTTGTGGTTAGAAATTGTCATAATTTCTTTCTATTCAACATGTTTATTCACTTCACTTTAATTTTTCATTAACAAATTTATTTAACTGCTTTCGAACTTGATTGACATATTATATTTACGCCCATCTTCAATTAATTTAAAGTTTCCCTGATTCTAAAGGTCATGAAAGTTAAAATCGTTCCATAGCATTCGTCACATTCTTTTTACTATCATACAGCCCACTGAATATTGAACCTTATAACAACCGTCGTAAAATAGATAATTAATGGAAGTTCAAACGACAAAAAGTCGCCCATTTCAAGAAATATTATGTTGACAGTGTAATTTTTTACATGTTTTACTTGTTTATTACTGTAAAACTGTAATTTAATAATACATTATATTATTAAATTACAAAACAAGAATGTTGTATATTTGTTTATTACCTACTTAATAAAAAATGTTGCTGCCATCGTATTACCGCTGTACCGCATGATATTTCCCGATTCGACTATGAGGTTTATTGTCATATCTATTAATTATGATTTAAAGAACTTTAAACTTAACATGTGGTATATAATTAATTATTAGATATAAATATTGAATATAAAACAACATATTTGTATAATAAATAAATTAATTGTAATAAAAAATAGTATTGTTTTATTTACTAACTCATTTGCTTCTTTTATAGCCTGATATTTATATTTTATGACAAAAAACAAAAAAAAATAAGAAAAATAACAAGGTAAAATAAAATTAACTTTTAGCTGGAATAGAACCCACATCATTGATCCTTGAAAGACGATAAAAGCGTGCTCATTAACCAATCGACCACGAGCACTACGATAATGACAGTGAAAATGTCGGGTCATATCAATGATTGTAAATAGTTTTAACCTTACCTATGCATTAAATTATAAAAATACGTATACCGACACAAGAATGAAAAAACCAATGTGAACGTGGTGGACGAATATTTTTATATACAGTTATATGAAATTACGCACACATGTACACTGTGTAAATGACAGTTGTGTCGATGTGTAGCGCTGCAACTAATTAGCGGTGCTTTGTGTACATGTCAAAATAAAAATTACTATATAAAAAAGGAGGTTCATTATTTTCAAACATTAAAATAAAACTAACAAAACAAAAACAAAAAAAGAAATTATACCTCTAATAATACTAATATTCAGCCGTTAATCCACAAAATAACAATCTAAAACAGTCTATTAGACCCTCACATTATGTTTGGCTCCTTTATAACTTATAATCTAGAAACTCATGTACGCTATAAAAACAACGATCAAGGAGAAATTTTTTTAGACCACTTTTAAATTTTGAAAATGGTAGGGCCTACCATTTTCAAAATTTTTACCTATATTAAGGTTGATCAAATCAGGTAATTACTCCTACTTAGCAGATGTTCTTTAGCTTGCTTGCCCTGTTTATTTGTATGTTTAGGTCAAATCTAGTAATTGTAATGTCACCCCCTTCCTGACGACAGATCAATCTGATATTTGGTACACACTCTTAATATTGATGACCATACAATATAATCTATTTGGTTCCACAACTACCTCCATTGTGGATATCAAAATATAGTGCTTCATTGGTAGAATAGAGCTCATTGAAACCGTTTAACATATTGTTTTTTGTATTACATGTTTATTTCAAAAATATTGTCTATTTTTCTATCATCTTATTTATAACTTAATATACGATACACAATATAAAATAATAGTTTTTAAAAAGATAAAAACAGCTGTATATAGTGCACCATACAAGTTGTGACGTTAATATCGATGGAATACATACAA